TCACCCTTGCTGCGCAAGGGGAAGACTGTGGTGTAACGCGAGTAGTCGTCAACCACCAGCAGGAAGTAGCGCTCGTGACCCTGTCCACGGACGCGGGCCGGGCCCCACACGTCCATGTGAAGCGTCTGCAGCGGGGCCTCTGTCGGAGGAAACTGGGAGGAGTGAGGGGTAGCCCGCTGCCGTCCCTCGACACAGGGGACGCAGGTAGGGCCTGGCCCCGGAGGAAGGGGAGGGAGGGACCGGGGAAGACCAGAGACAAGGACACGGGAGGCCATGCTCCGGAGACGAAGCAGGGAGGGGTGGCCAAGGCGGTGGTGCCAGAGGAGAGTCTCGTGAGACAGGAGGCGACACGAGCAGGGGGCAGACTCAGGACCAGACCTGGACGCTGCAGCAAACACCTGACCCGACGCAGCTACCTGACCAGACGCAGGGACTGGAGGAGACGCAGTGGTCAGTGTGTACAGGCTCGACCCTGGCCGACGTGTAAACGTGGCCAGGTGGCGGCCTGTCCGAGCGTCCGTGCAGTGGGTCACCCGCTGACTCGCAGGAGTGAACTGGTGAACCCCCGCATCCTGTAGGTCAGCACCACTCACCAAGTTCGTAGAGAACGAGGGGAGGTAGAGACCAGACAGGGTGCCAGAGGGGGCCGCCGGACATGGGAGGACAGTGGAGAAGTGAGCAAGGACAGGACCCCCAGAGGGGTCTGCCAGGGAGACCGCAACTGGCCGGCCAAGCGGCGTGAGTGTGGTGCGGTCTCGAAAGAAGGAGCGAGAAGCCCCCGAGTCAAGTGTGAAGGTGTGGGAGGCCGAAGCCGACGCAGAACCTGAGAGAGCAGACTCACCAGCACCTGAGGGAGCAGACGCACCTAGAGCAGCAGCCTCGCTAGCACCTAGAGCAGCAGCCTCACCAGTACCTAGAGCAGCAGTCTCAATGCCCGGGTCGGGCGGAAAACACCGGTAACAGTCACCCTCATCACTAAGAGTCACAGTATACACGGCAGCAAGAATAGCATCAAAGTCAAGGTCAAAGACAGCTACACCCGCCCTAGACAGCTCACCCCAGCGGGGAATCTCAGTGGCCTCAGGGAACTGGTGACGCCAAGCGTCCGTGAGGCGGCCAAAGCAGCGCTGGGTGGAGTGCGCACCCCCGCACTGCTCACCCGCGCGGTCACCGGTGCGCAGGACGTAGGTGCACGGACCAGCACCCCCACCCCTCTGGCGTGCAGTGTACCACTCACGGAGCTGCTGAGGGGAGGGGACGTCATGAGTGCGCTGCTGCTGCTGGCGCTGACCACCACCGGAGCTGACCCTCTGCGCAGCGCCACCCCGACCAGCTCCACCTCCTCCTCCTCCTCCTCCTCCACCGCCGCCACCTCCGCTCCCTCCGCCACTGCCGCTGCCTCCTGCGCCTCCACTGCCGCCACCTACACCTCCACCCCCGCCACCACTCCCACCGCCACCCCCACCTCCTCCACCACCTCCACCGCCGCCTCCACCGCCCCCGCTAGCTCCTCCAGCGCCCCTGCCCCCCTTGCCCCTGCCAGGGCGGCGTCTCCCGCTAGGGGTAGACGCTGCCCCAACCGACTCCAAACCAGCGAGGTCGGCCGCAGCAGCAGAGGCAACAGAGGGCAAAAGAGGGGAGGGGGAACACCCCTCAAAGATGGGGGTGCGAGGGTCACCACGAGAGGCTCCTACAGCGACTATGCTCTTTTCTGCTGCTAGGAGGGCCTTCTCGAGGAGGTCAACGGTGAGAGTGGTGGGACAAACCGAGAGGAAGTGGTCCCTGACTACGCGAAGGGAGTCAGGGAGACGGGTGACTATGTAGTAGAGGGTGATGTACATGGGGGGGGGGTTCTTGGCGCAGAACTCAGCAGGAAGCGCAGCGCGGTAGCGAGTGTCACTAGAGCGGAGGTGCGTAATGAGGTCAGCGACTGTGGGAAAGGCAGCAAGGTCAGGGAAGAGGTACGGTAGCATGAGGCGGCTCAGTGCAGCAGTGGCAGGGGAGGAGTAGCGTGCAACTACAGCGTCGTACAAGGTCTGAGCACTCTTGTACTGGCTAAAGTGCGCACGCTCAGAGGTAGGGAGGTGGCGACGCACAGCAAGACGTGCAGCAGCATCGCGCGTGGCCCACTGTGAGCGAACGGTGGCGTCAGCATCAGCAGCGGGGGCAGGAGAGGCACCAGAAGTGAGGTCAAAGAGGGAGAGGCCGTCTGCTCTGTCGCACTGTAAGAAAAGCTGCAGGTCATCTATCCAGACGTCAAAGTCAATGGCCCGACCCTCAGCGTCAAAAGCGAGGACACTAGGGGTAGCCATGACAGCAGTAGACTAGCAGTGCAAACAGTAGGGCGAGGGCAGTGCTGTGAGAGAGGCGCTGCTCTTACCGGACAGGGCGGTTCGGGCGGCTCGGCTGCAGGGCGGCTCGGCGGCTCGGCGGCTCGGCGGCTGGGCGGCTCGGCGGCGGGGCGGCTCGCCTGCTGGGCGGCTCGGCTGTGGACAGGGCGGCTCGGCGGCTGGGCGGCTCGGCGGCTCGGCTGCTGGGCGGCTCGGCTGCTGGGCGGCTCGGCTGCTGGGCGGCTCGGCGGCTAGGCGGCTTGGCCGCTGGGCGGCTCGGCGGGGCCGCTGGGAGGGCGGCGTCCGGGGCCGCTGGGAGGAGGCGGCGGGGCCGTAAAGGTAAGTGGCGGGGCCGCGGAGGTAGGTGGCGGGGCCGCACAGTGAGGTGGCGGGGCCGCGAAGGTAGGTGGCGGGGCCGCACAGGTAGGTGGCGGGGCCGCGGAGGTAGGTGGCGGGGCCGCACAGTGAGGTGGCGGGGCCGCGAAGGTAGGTGGCGGGACCGCACAGGTAGGTGGCGGGGCCGCGGAGGTAGGTGGCGGGGCCGCACAGTGAGGTGGCGGGGCCGCGAAGGTAGGTGGCGGGGCCACACAGGTAGGTGGCGGGGCCGCACAGGTAGGTGGCGGGGCCGCGGAGGTAGGTGGCGGGGCCGCGGAGGTAGGTGGCGATGGGCGCGACGGGCGCGACGGGCGCGACGGGCGCGACGGGCGCGACGGGCGCGACGGGCGCGGCGGGCCGAAAGGGCGGCGCGACTCGGGCCGGCGCAAAACGCGCTCCGGGCAGGAAAAAAAAAATTCGTGGTGGTGGGCCCTAGGAATCGTTCCCACTAGGGAACCTGCTCGATACCATGATGAGAAACGAGGAATGAAATGACTAAGTGAAAGTTGGGTACAAGAAGCAAACCCTAGAAAACTGTACCCCATATGTGCTACCCCACTATAGCCTACTGTAGCTATGTCATATAAATCTGACAGGAATATTGCCAGCGGTGGCAGCTCCCTCACGTGGCAAGTGTGGGCGCTGCATGCATCACCACCGAGGTCGGCCTGTTTCAATGAATCTGGTCTCTGGGTGTTTTCTACACAATTTGCAAGTGTTACAGTCAACTTATTTTTTTTTCCATTTATAAGACTTATAAGACACCCTAAACCATCTCGTTTACAAGATAACTCAAACATTTTTGCCCGTGTACGAGATAAGACATATATGTCTTATATCCGGGCGATGACGGTACATTGCGAGATTTACCACATCAACCCTCTGCCTGTATTTATACGTGCAGGCCATAGAGACAGGAGTTGCAACAGTCACGGGGACATCAGCGAGGTTTAGGGTGGGAAACAAGAGAGACAAGACTTACAGAGCATACGCTGCAAGCGTACCAGGCGACTTTGACCTTTTGGGTGAGTCAATTGGGGCGTATCTGGAGCTGCTACATCCTGAAGAGGATGTACACTATCAGGAGATGATAGATGTGCATGGAGGTGTTGCGGTACCACCGGACGACGATTTTACGAGGTATAGTAGGTATCCATAGTATGCACGGGCAACTCCACTGTTCCATAAAAAACCTTGGTTTTCTGATGTGGATGTTGAGGGCGAAGATGACAACAAGAAGAAGGTGGTTTGGCACGCGAAGATTTTCCTCCTATTCACATTGAGATGGACAGTGCTTAATGGCGACGACGAGGATGGGCAGTTTTCGGAGCACCTTGCATTTGGTCGTTACTACGAAGTCCAGCAGCAGTCAGAGACGATGGATATGAAGACTCTTACCTGGTGGCCATCTCACCGCGGTTATGGGGTATTTCCAGTTGAGAGTATACTGCGTGTGTGCCATGTTGTTCCCAAAACCGTTGATCCGTCGCATCCTCTCGCAAAGTTCATTTTGAATCATTTCAAGTGGTAGGGAGATTTGTTGTACATATGTATACATTCTTTGGCTCTAAATGAGGCAATAGTTGATGTTTTATATGGTAAAACTTTTGACCATTCACATCTATAATCTCATGGGTGCGCTTTTATTCCTGAGACGAGTCTGCACAGAAATAACACAATCGTGAAATCTGGAACAATTTCGGACGACTGTGGAAGCTGGGCCGCACTGCACGCGAGATCTGATTCTTTGAATCCCGTTTACCACTGCGCCGCACTGCACGCGTGACTGTGGAAGGATTACTGTTGAAAAATTGATGACCATGTTACTGTTGGCACGTGTTTTTCCAATCCGTTTGCGCCATATAGTTCAATTCTGTTCAAAGTTTAGGTAAGCACGGTCCGCAACCCACGTCTACTTTCGCTTCCAAACAATGCTGACTTCGGGTTTGGTTTACACCCTCTAGTTCCGCTTTGGTTTCGTGTCATGCCCGGTTCTTCGTCAGATCTGCATTGTCTCGATTCTGTGAATCCGAAATTTAATGCTACACAAGTGGCAAACCACGTCGACAGGAAAACTGCTGCTGAGCTTGGACGGTTTCGTGTTCTGTTGCAGCTGTTTTACTGTGTCGGTGTTCTTGCTGCTGTACATCCAAACACAGTTCTAGCGCGCCGCGCCATGTTTCTGCCGTTGCTGTACCTCCACTAGCTGGCTGGACACCAACAAGGCAACTTCCAAGAAAGAGGCACGTGTGGAAGATTCCAAAAGCCACAGCCAGCGCAACAGATCCCCGTCGAATGCCAGCCAGTCATAAGCTACTGCCGATGCCAGCGCAACTGATGCAGCGCAGCATGCCAGCACATCTGAACAGTGCGCCTTGTCCTAGCTGTGAAGGGCGCGCCGCGCGTCGTCCACATACACGCTGCATAGCCACCCACATCCTTTCTTTTCTCGGACGCTACCCTCGCACGACCCAACCCAGGTGAGAAGTGCACCGCGCGTCCCACCAATCAACTTCGTCACACGCGGCAAGCCAACCACATCATTGGTACCCCGCAGACCACCCCCTTCCCTTCTCTCTTCCACTCCCCCATTTCCTTTCCCCGTTGGCAGGGGTGAGGTTACATGCTCTGTAGTTGTTTCTTGTTTTAGAATTTCAAATTTTGAAGCCCGCCAAGGCTCCGGGCCAGCCCGCCAAGGCTCCGGGCCAGCCCGCCAAGGCTCCGGGCCAGCCCGCCAAGGCTCCGGGCCAGGCCGCCAAGGCTTCGGGCCAGCCTGACAAGGCTCCTGCAGTCTCTGCCGACACTGCTGGTGGTCCCGAAGGCTCCGGTGACGGTGGCCATCTCCCTGCTTTTATCGAAACTATCGATAATTGTGTCGCTGTCGTAGCGGACAAGGAACTCGCCGCTGAAAAAGGTGATTCACACTTCTACTCACTTTTCTAAGCCTTGGATTCTGTTGCCTGCAACCATGACTAATGTTGCTGTTCCGTATTTGTTTTTGTCCACCAACAGAAAAGGCTGATGCCAGCCCGATGGAGTTGATAATGTCACGCGCTAAAGGTCGGGTGTACGCTACTAAGGCCGCAGCTTATGACGAGGAAGAGCGCGACGAACCCTTGGTGAACGACGAGCTGGTAGCCAAGGCGGGTACTCAAAAGGCGATCGCGGATGCATATTGCAAGGAGAACGCGCGTAGGGCGGGAGAATTGAAGGACTGCCTCGTGCTTATCACGCACCTTGCTAAGAAGGCCTCGGAAGTTGACGCCGGCGCTCTCACCTGGGAGGTAAGTTGAATTATTATAATTGCATTTCATTTCCTCCAGAAACGTCGGATTACTAAGTTCTTTTGTGTTGCGCGCAGGTGTACACCAAGAAGTCTTGCGATGAGTTTCTGTTCAACCGAGAGATGCTCAATCTCTCTCCCGATTCTGATGACATGCTGAAGTCGCTCATAAGTAAGGGTTGCCCTCTGTTTTCTCTGTTGTCGCTGTCAGTCTTTGGAAGCTGACTACATTTTTTTTGTATGCAGGGCATTCGGGCCACACGCCAGACTCACCCGAAGGCTTGAAAGTGGCTGCGATTGCGATGTCGCAAGGCAAGCTGAGGCATGCCTGTGTGCGTTTCAATGATCGCATCGGTAAGATCTACCGACTTACCCGCATCCACGCGTTGACTAACGAGCCCTGTGTCTTCATGGGTGAGAAGCGTAGCCTGAAGGGCCTGATTATTTTCTACGAGCCCAAGGGTTTCCCTAGCAAGTGCAAAGTCTATGTCACCAGGAACGATTCCAGTAAGTAGGCTTCTTCACCGTTTTCTGTACCATCCGTAAACCTGTATCTGACCTTCTCATTGTCACCCTGCAGAGTTTTTCGGATTACCCTGGCATGTCCTTAACGGAGTCCCATTTTCCACCGACGGTTTTATTCTATGTGCTGCTCTGTGGGACTCTGAGTGGGACGGGTCCCTCCCGATTGCCTTGTTTCATGAGCAGCTTCTTGTGCTGCTTGCAGTGGTGAGTTCTCTAGTTTTACCGATGGTATTTTATCCTAATGTAATGCTTACAATTTTTGTGGTAACTGTCTCAGGTGCGTTCCAAATTGCGCAATCCCCGCTGCAACAAGGCCCAGTTCACGCGTTCCGGGGATCCTGGAGCTCTCGCCAGGCAGGCACGGGTGGTGCAGCGTTGGATCAACGCCAGCCAAGTTAAGCGCGAGGGAGAGTGCATTGGCATCGGGAAGCTATGCATCGTCGGTTGGACCGACATTTCTGAAGAGGAGCTCGCTGGGGATGAGCTTGGGGATCTGTCCCCTGATGATCTTGTCCCGACCAGCGCTCATCGCAGGGGTTATGATCCGAACCAGGTGCAGGTAGAACTGTTTTAGATTTAGGTAGTGTAGTTGTAGTTACTGTTGCTAGGAATAGCTGTAAGTGTAGTTACTATGTTGCTACGTATTTTGTGTATACAGTGTCAATTTAGTAAATATGTAATGTTGAGCAACGTTTGTTATGTTTCGAGTACTGTTAGTGCGGTGTGGTGGAAGTTATTCAAATTATTATATTTACCATTCGATTAGGCCCTACCGTTACGTGCACAAGTGCCACCGTTACATGCACAAATGCCGCCTCAAAGCTAACGATTGAATTTTATCAGAGAAACCAATACACGCTAACTTCCGCGTCATCATTTCAATTGACTTGCATCACTTTCGCTAGAAGATCAATTTTGAACGAGACGTGTAAAAAATAACGACCTTAGTTCAACATCCAGATTCCAACAACCGAAGCAGTGTTTATCGTGTCGATATTGCTGACGCGACAACCAATCGGAAAAAAATTCCGCCCACTGCCGATCAAACAGCTGTCTGCGTTCAGTTCGTCGAAATTATCCAAGCCAAATCTTCAGGTTTGGCAGCCAGCTGCTCGACCACTCGAAACCTTCTCGCGAGCAACAAGCTACTATACACGCAAACCACACGATTCATCGGGGAAAACGCGTGCAGCCGAAAACCAATCGCTTACGACTGGTTTCCAACTTGGAAACCACACCCGCTCTTTTCCCGATGTTCTTGGTCCTAAACGCCTGGGGGAAAACTGACGTTGGCCGGCACCCTTCAGGTGAAGTGAGGAATTCGATTTTTTGAACCGCCTTGGCCCAGATGCCATATCAGATGATCTGGTAACTTGTTCCGTGGCCTCAAATAAAAAATATCGGACCAAGAAAACCCGAACCAACCATCCGGTTCGGAGGCGTGGGCTGGGCTTGCCGAGCGAAATATATTCGGACCAGACGAAGGCCACCCACCTACGCGGCATGCCCGAAATGCCGCCAGCATATGGCGGCAGGTTCGGAGTCACACAGAGGGCGTGGAAACTTTTCCTCGAAGTAGTGACGATTGAAGCCAATTCGTTTTGTAGACGTTCTTTTCTTCTAAGGTTGGTAAGTTGTACTGTAACGTGCCTACTAGGAAGTGCCCAAATGAAAAGAAAGCAACCTCTACTTATAGAATACATAAATCAATATAGATGTTCCAATCTTTTACGGCCATAACTCTCCCATATGCTCCACATCAAAGCGGCAAGTGTGCTCTAAAGCAGGATCAGCAATGACAGTCCCATTACCCAACATGCCTGCAAAAATAGCAAACGTGCTAATGTATCGAGTGAAGCTCAGCAACACTGCTCCCTTGCTTAGAAGTGCAAAATCCGCCAACGTCGCTAAATAGTCCCCACCAGATTTTGACAAGTGAACAGCAGGTGATACTGAGAAATACACCTCGCCAAAAGGTCGTAAATTTTCCACCACTTGTGTTATAAAAACTTCTGTATCTGTAGACACAAATATCCGCAGGTGGCCTAGATGAGCGGCTGAGGGCTCGCCAGGTGGCACAATGGAGGCCACAAGAAGCGAATCGTCAACCGTCCATTCATCCTGCAGCCTCACCCTTTGCTGAAGCTTCCTCCTCCTTTCCTTCTTAGTCCCTACTTTAGCACTTTCCTGAGGATGCTCTGAAAGCCGCGTGTGTTCACTTGAAGCTGCATAAAGGGTGGATTTCTGTGGTCGGGTTAGGAAGGGAAGGCAAGGGGGGACGACAGAGGAAGGTGCAGTTTATGAATGTAGGGATGGGGTGGAGAGGAGAGCCAGAGAAGATGGAGAAGCGGCACTGTGGTTTTCTCGACTCATAGTAAAAGGGGAGCAGTATTAAAAGATAACACTTAACCGTTGATGGCAGCATGAGAGGCTCAACAGGATTAACAGTCTAATACTCGTGCGGGAAAAAAAAAAGAGACAGAAAAACAGAGGTTTTGTTTGAATAAAGGGATGTGGTGGAGTGGAGAACTAGGGGAGATGGAAGGGTGGCACTAGAGTTTTCATGACTCATAGTAGAAGGGCAGCAGTAGGGTTGCAAAGGCTCGTGGTGAAATGGATGATGGTGAAATGGATGATGGTGAGATGGATGATGGTGAGATGGATGATGGTGAGATGGATGATGGTGAGATGGATGATGGTAAAATGGATGATGGTGAAATGGATGATGGTGAAATGGATGATGGTGAAATGGATGATGGTAAAATGGATGATGGTGAAATGGATGATGGTAAAATGGATGATGGTGAAATGGATGATGGTGAAATGGATGATGGTGAGCGGTTACAATTGTCTTTCACTGTTCTCGTCTGTTTCTGTGTGCTTATTGTGTTGTCTTGTTTGCTTATTGGCATTTCTCTTTACTTGTTGTGATTGCCGCACCTTTGCTTGTCTTGGTGGCAGCATTGGCGGAAGCACGAGAGGCTTTACCGTCGAAGATCCCAACATTATCGCCAGTGGCTGACCCATCAGCAGCAACTGTAGCATTGGCTGACCCATCAGCAGCAGCTGTAGCATTAGTGAATCCATCAGCAGCGGCTGTAGCATTGGCTGACCCATCAGCAGCAGCTGTAGCATTAGTGAATCCATCAGCAGCGGCTGTAGCATTGGCTGACCCATCAGCAGCAGCTGTAGCATTAGTGAATCCACCAGCAGCGGCTGTACCACTGGCTGACCCACCAGGAGTGGATGTGGCATTAGTGAAGCCTCCAGCAGCAGCCTTCTTGATCCGCAGGAACTGCATGAGCCTGAAAATGCAGCGCCACTGCCTTGGCTTCATGTATGCATGCGCCCGCACTTGCTCTCCCCGCTGCGCTTTCTCCTGGCATTTCCTGTCCTTGTTGACACAGTAATTGCCCTCCACGTTGCTGGAAAGGGGGGGGGAGTTGGGGAACAGGGGATGGGCGGGGAAACGGGTGCGGAGGGGGGGGCAGGAAGGGACGAGTATGGGGATGGAGGGTGGTGGCAGGGGGGCAAGGGTGGAGGGGGTAGGGACCAGGGTGAACAGAAGGGGTGGTGTGGGGGGGAGAGTGGGGTGGGGAGGAACTGCATCAGTCTGACAATGCAGCGCCAGTGCCGTGGCTTCATGTATGCATGCGCCCGGACTAGGAGTACTTAAATCCCCACAATAGCAGGTCCACGAATGTGAAGCGCCACGTCCAATTGCAGCCACAGCCCATCATGCCCTAAAACCCCCTGAAAAATACCCCCATCGTCTTGAACTCACATGGCATGTCCACGGATGTGCAGCGCCACGTCAAACTGCAGCCTTAATCCCTCCCCTTTCTGAACCATCCGTGGCTCCACCTTCCCTTCTGTCACCCCCCCCTCCTTCCTCCCCACCTCTTCTCCTCGGAGCACGAGCGGCGGCACCACCCTCAGGTCTCTGTCCACCACGTCTTGCATTCCCGGCTTGGGGCCGTTGCCGAGGAGCAGAGAGAGCACTTTGGAGCGGATGCACCAGAGGGAGCGGCAGGAGAAGGCGTCGTGCACGCACTGGTTGACCTGGGGGTCGCCACGCCACAATCTGTCAAAGAACGCTCCTGGTGGGAATGGATGGGGTAGGGGGAAGAGGAGGGAGTGCAAGGAGAGAGCACAGCGGATGCACCAGAGGGAGCGGCAGGAGAAGGCGTCATGCACGCACTGGTTGACCTGCGGGTCGCCACGCCACAATCTGTCAAAGAATTTGCCTGAGAATGATGGGTGGGATGCAAACGCAAAAGGGCAGGGAGGATGGACGAGAAGCAGGAGGAGCAGCGAGCGCACTTGCGATTGGTTGCGAGAGTGGGAGTGGCAACCAAAGGTTGGTGTTATGTATGTATTAGCATGCATTATTTGGAATAGATATGCATTGGCATATATCAGTATGCTTCGGTATGCATCGAAATGCATGAGTTGCAGCAGCATCTATATGCGGGCGGGAGTCTTTGGGCCGATTACGGGTCTACTAAATAAAATGACTGGCAGGCAAAGGTAATATGATATGATGTCCGCATTGGTGTGTAGAATCGCGAAAACAAAACTCCGCTGATAATTTAGCAAACAGAAGGTACAACGATACGGAGTTTGCTTAATCAATGGGTTGCTGGGCTAGTAAATTTGGGAAGGGGAACTGATGTAGCAGTTATCACCCGCATGCATTTGCTTGTATGAATGAGTTGAATAGCACACCTGAATAAACAGCCACAACATTTGGGCTGTAGTCAAAGCCATGAATCTCGAGCTTTTTTGCATCCATGAGCTTTGCATGCCTGCTGATATCCCCTTTGTATTGCAACTCGTCTACCCCACAGTAGAATGCGTTGCACAAACGGTCCAAGACCTGGGAAATGTGAGGATGGGGTGCAGGGGTGGCACGAGGTGGAACTGTGGGAAAATGTGGTGCATAGAGGGATGACAATGTGTTTTGAGTCGACTCAAAACAATGCCTGGGAAATGTGAGGATGGGAGAAAGGGGTTGCACAAGGTGGAAGTGCGGGAAAATGTGGTGCATAGAGGGATGACGACTTGATGATGTGCAACTCTTTTTCTGAGACATCTCAAAATTCTGCTCATAGTGTGCAAGTATGAATCGAGGCGCTTCAATGCTCAACTGGAGTGCAACCAGGTTTCTACTTCTGGGAAAACAGAAGGCAACTATTCTAAAATGATGTGGCTTCAGAAAAAAGGAAGCGGTTTCTGAGACACACACTTTTCTTTATATCGGAAGGGCCTAAAGCTCGTTACATAAAATGCGGTTTTGAATATATTTATTTTTGGCCTTTATTTTCTACGAAGCTGGTAGACAAGAGCAATGGGTCGCCCCGACCCGACCCGACCCTACCCCACCCCACCCGGCCCGACCCGATCCAACCCGACCTGACCCAACCCGACCCCACCCACACCCCACACGACCCAACCCGACCCCACCTGGCCCGACTCTACCCGACCCGACCCGACCCCACCCGACCCGACCTGACCCAACCTGATTCGACCCGACTCGACATGAACCAACCCGACTAGACCAGACTCAACCCAACCCGATGGGGTAGCTGATGGGTGATGCAGTGTTTTCTAGGGAAGGGATTGGCTGATGAGAAACGATGTGTTTTTTGGGAAAGGGGGTGGCTGATGGGAATTGAGGTGGCTTCTAGGAAAGGGGGTGGCTGATGGGAATTGAGGTGGTTTCTAGGAAAGGGGGTGGCTGATGGGAATTGAGGTGGTTTCTAGGAAAGGGGGTGGGTGGTTGGTGGGAGATGAGATGGTTTCTAGGAAAGGGGATGGCTGATGGGAAATGATGGTTCTGAGGAAATGGGGCGGCGGACGGGAAATGAGGTGGTTTCAAGGAAAGGGGGTGGCTGAGCTAAACAAACGAGGCACTCCCTATCGAGAGTCAGGAATAAGGGAGGTGGTAGAGGCATGGGAGTGTCATGAAGCTATGACGCATTAGCTATACTCTCATACTCACTCCCGGATGCCCATGCCCACATGACATGACCCACCCACACCCAGATGCACCCATTCCGCCATGCTCTAATGATGCCACACGCATTGCCACTTACCTTCTTATGAGGCCTTATGCCGTATGTCCATATATGCCCCTCCATCCCCCCTCACATTTGCATGCCAGCATGGTCGAACCATACTCTCCCTTCCCTCGCCTTCTGGTGCAGCCCCCTATACCATGCAACATGCCCCAGTGCACCCTCCATTGAACCCCCACATTCGCATGCCACATGCTTGTTCCATACTCTCCCCGCCCTCTCCTGCTTGTGCAGGTCCCCACCCCCCGCAATGGTGCCACACGCCTTGCCACTCACCTTCTTATAAGGTCTTATGCCATATGTCCATATACGCCCCTCCACACCACCCCACCCCCACATTCGCATGCCACATGCTTGTTCCATACTCTCCCCGCCCTCTCCTGCTTGTGGTTCCCCCCGTGCCACCGCAGCAGCCTCCGTCCCGACAGCAGAGCAAAGATGAACGACGAGGTGTACGCCCTCAGGGAGTTCCCCAGCCCAAACCGTGGCATCCAAATGAGCCAGCGCTCCTTCAGCATGAAATCCCGTTGGTCTTGAGGAACGGGCTTGTGATTTTGCTTCTCCTGCTGGCGCTGCACAGTGCTGAGAAGCTTCAGCTCTGAAACTCCAGCGTCCGAGCCCCAGACGGGGAGGCTGATTCAGGGAGGATACCTTCACATGAGGGGGTGTTCTGAAAGAGCGGGGGAGGGGGAAGGGGATAGGGCGGAAGGAGGAATGCGCTTGTGATTCTCTTGCTGGAGTTGCAATTCGCCGCGAAGATTGAGCTCTGAAACACCAGCGTCAGTCAGAGATCCATATGGGGAGTGGCATGGGCTGATTCGGGGAGGATTAGGCATGAGCCCGGGCCAGGCAGGTACACCGGTCGGGTCAGGTCAGGTCGGGTCAGGTCGGGCCGGGTCGGGTCGGGTCAGGTCGGCTTAGGTCGGGTCGGGTCAGGTACGCAGGCCTGACTCGCCTGGTGTTAGAGTTCTGAGAATATTCGCCCGACTCGGACAAAAAGCCGGGTTGATTCGGCCCGACCCGACCCGACCGGGTGTCCTGCTCATGCCTAGGGAGGATGCCTTTTCAAGAGGGTGTGCTCTGCAAAGGGTGTGGGAGAAGGAACGGAGAAGACAGAGTTACATGGACAATGCCCGTTGCGCTGGCGCCGTCCCGCATGAACATGCCACGCCAGCTGGCGCCAAGCTGAGCCGCAGGCCACAACCACAGTGGCCTACAAGCAGCCGCGGTGCATCTTTCTGCTGACTCACAACACGGTCACTCCAGCTGACGCTCAGTCGACTTTCGAGACAATTCAGAACTTACCTTCACGCCGTACCTGGTGTCGTCGTACGCGGTGTCGTACGCGGTGTCGTTGTACGCGGTGTCGTCGTACTCGGTGTCGTCGTACGCGGTGTCATCGTACTCGGTGTCGTCGTACTCGGTGTCGTCGTACTCGGTGTCGCCACACCAGCTGAACCCCAGCCTCGCCACGGGCCACTGCCATTGGTAGCTGTCCTGGATCCGAGGTAGCAACACTTCACTTAGCTAAGCATTTCACTTACCTTGATGTCGTACCCGGCATCGCCCCGCATGAACATGCCGTGCCAGCTGGCGCCCAGCCTCTCCACGGGCCACTGCCATTGGTAGTATCTTTGCGGGTCCGCTTTACTGCCCGCCTCCACACCAAGAATTTCCTCTTTATTGCCCGCCTCGTTTACCCACTGAAACGCCGATGAGGCTTTCTCCCACGGCCCGCCCACCCACCCATCCACCAGCCTCCTCCTCCTCCTTCTACTCCTTGGCTTCTCAATCGCTGTTCTCTCTGACTTCTCCGGCACCCCTGCCATCCATCCGTCCACCAGCCTCCTTCCCCTTTTTCCTCTCCTGGTGCTCTGCTTTTCAATCGCTGTTCTCTCAGTATTTTCCGGCACTCCTGCCATCCATCCGCCCACCAGCCTTCGTCTCCCATGGGCCGTCCTCCCAATTCCCGGCTTGGTTACTCCACTCACTCCTCTCCGCACCCCCACCAATCCCCTCAAACCACCCCCATCCCCCTCTTTCCGCCTGCTACTCACAATCCCCATGCTAATCCCCGTGCTAATCCCCGTGCTCTTTCTCGTCCTTTGACCCTCAACACCCCCCTGCCCTTCCCTTTGAACACTGCTTTCTCCTTTCCACGCATGGATCTCCCTAAAGACAGACTCGATAATGTCTCTCTCTTCCCCTTCCTGGCGTACCTCCCCTTCCTCCCCCTCCTCCCCCTCGTCGGTCAAATCGTTCCCGTCCCTTTCATCGTCATCACTCATCTCAAAATCCTCTCCCTCTTCTTCCCTCTCCATCGCTCTATCTCCAGTGCCCTCTTTCCATTCACCACCACTACTAGCACGAGGCTCACTGCTGCTTTCCATCTGAACCAACCCTGATCCTTCGGGTTTATCTCCGCCGTCCATCTCTCTACCAGTAGATCCCTCCTCTCTGCTATCTTGGTCCGTTTCTGATCGTCCATTCCCCACCCCACGCCTCTCCTCCAACTCTTTCTTCCCCTTCGCTATAGTCACATCGTTCCAGTCGCATCCCTCCCATTCCTCGCACGGCAGAACTAGTTCTAACCGCGGGTCGCAAGTTGCCGGCGGCAGTCGCTTCCCACCTGACGGCCGGTAGCTCTTCGCCAGAGAATTATTGCTCCGCTGGATAACCGCATCATATCTTTCGGTCGGCGGTATCCAACGGTCATTGCCCGTCCCTCGAGAGTATGTGAACAATGCTTGATGGCCGTCAGTTGACGGGTATTTCCCGTTAGAGAATTGCGGAGAGTGTGACGCGGTAGTGACTGGTACTAGCCGAACCAGCAGTAGAAATAGTAGTGTGATACTGCAAACGATTACAATAACGCCAGCTGAGGCTGCCATATTAGTGGACACAAGGAGAAAAACTACTAGTAGTAGTGGTGCTAATTTCGCCGCAGAAGGATTTTTTCTCGGAAAAGGTGTCGGAAACCCCACAAACCGCTATGGGGGAATCGCTAGGTAGTTCACTTTCTTTCGCACACGAGACAGAAAAGTCACTCTAATGCAAACTGACGAGAAGCTGTTAGTTGCAAGCATCATGTTCACGTCAAGCTGTTTGTAGTTGCAAGCAAACATGTTCACGCGATTGACAAGAGCTATGGCGGCCAGGCTAGATTCAGAAATCCGCTTTGGAAAGTGGGTGAAGGTGTTTGTGGGGGCGGGGGGTATGGTTCTCTTCTCGCTTGGAGTGGCTCTTTTTGATTAACTGGCCTACGTCACTCTCCGTTCTGAAGTGTAGCTTCGACGTTTGACGAGATGCACGAATCCGGTTTGTATATATTTCGCCGTCACTTCACATGGTTGGATTGCCCGGCTTGGTTTGCCTGCGTCACCACCCAGTCTGCGTCACATTCGCGAAACATGTTGCCCCGTTAAATGTTTCCTTGCTGGTAATCGTGACAGTTCGCTATCACTGTTTACCGGTTTGGATTGGTTCACTCATCACCAATACTCTCCCATGAACTGCCTTCATGATGCGTCCCTCAATTCCGGACCTACGATCGACCGTGCAAAATCGAACCTCCACCTGCGTTTTGCATTCCAAATCTTTCAAACCTCTTCCAACCACTCCAAAGATCGAGGAATGAGGGCCACGGTCACTGCTCTCAACAATGATCCCCGCGTTACAGCCGCTATGGATTCTCATATACGGTCGAGCCCGTGAACAGTGATATACGCGGTGGAGTCAGATGCGCACTAAGGAAGGATATATTTCCCTTGCAAAGCTGCGGAAAAACCACGCGGAGCTCTCACAACTTCCATCTTGTAAGAGGTCCCCACAATTCGTGAACCCAAAATGTCGCGTACTGAACATATGCCATCTCGTCTATCTTTGCTTTCTCGGACCTGTAAAGTGGTACGGTAGTCTACTTCCCGCAGGTCAGGTCCAAGATTTCTGGGACCGAAAGCGCAGCGGTCGGCACTCCTGCCTGACCGTTCGCTAATTCGTTGCCAACATCGCATCACATTTAGATCTCAACGGAAGCCGCCATCCTCGTTTCGTTGAATTCACGTCAAATCACGTCGAAGTAGTCACCTGCGTTCCCGTTTATCACGCCGTCAGCCCCGCATTGCTTCTTCTACAACCTTAAATTCTAAATGGCGTAACCTTGATTATTTTTATACATCAACCAACAAGAGTACAGTTATTTCAGGGCAAAGGGGAATCGAAGATTTCGAAGTCGGAAACGACAGCTTCTGGAGCCAACTCCCGTGTCTGTCTTATTGATCACCAGCTTTCAATCTCGACCGTCCGTTTAGCACCAGGGAATCATGGCGATATCGGAGTCCGTCGGCAGGAAGATCGCTCTGAGCTACTTCTACGTGCTCGTGTGGATCGTTTTAAGCTTCTCCGTTATTGTGTTCAACAAGTACATTCTCGACAGGAAGCTGTACAACTGGCCTTACCCTATCAGGTGCGTCTCTATTGCGCGTGTGCTACCTTCGCGCCCCATCATCTCACCCTACCAACATATTACCCCGCAATTCCACCCTCCATTTCCACCCCCATTCAACTCCACCATCCCCGCCTTCCCCTTTAACCCCGTCTTTTCCGCCCATCATTCGCCCCATTATTCCGCCCATCAGCCGCCCCATTAATCCGCCCATCATCCGCCCATCATCCGCCCATCACTCGCCACCTCCGTCCGCCTCGTTTCCTTCCCAATCTCCCTCACCTTTACCGCGGAAGCTTCACAAACGACCTGCTTCTTTCCAATCCAGATGCTTCAACCCCCCTTACCCACCTCCCCGTTCTCCGTGCAACTGTTTTGTTTCAATTTTCTTCCGTCTTCTTCCCCACTGCTCGTCCCGTTTCCCCTAGTCCCGCCCCCGCCTGCTTTTTCGACTGCCCTCTTGCTGTTCCCACTTTCCCCCTGCTGCTCTCGCTTTCCCCCTGCTATTCCCGCTTCCCCCTGCTCCTCCCGCTTCCCCCTGCTCCTCCCGCTTTCCCCCTGCTATTCCCGCTTCCCCCATGCTGCTCCCGCTCTCCCCCTGCTGCTCCCGCTTTCCCCCTGCTGCTCCCGCTTTCCCCCTGCTGCTCCCACTTTCCCCTGCTATTCCCGCGTCCCCCTGCTCCTCCCGCTTTCCCCCTGCTCCTCCCGCTTTCCCCCTGCTGTTCCCTCTCCCCCCCTGCTGCTCCTGCTTCCCCCCTGTTGTTCCCGCCTCCCCTTGCTCCTCCCTCTTCCCCCTGCTCCTCCCGCTCCCCAATGCTGCTCCTGCTCCCCCCTGGTGTTCCCACTTCCCCCTGCTGCTCTCGCTTCCCCACGCTGCCCTCCTTCCCTTCGCTTTCCACACCCCTCCCCCGCCACCAGTCACACCATGGTCCACATGGCCTCACATCCGAGCTGCCCATTCCCTTTCCCTTTTTCTACCCCTCTTCGCCCCTCCACACCTACCAGTCACACCATGGTCCACATGGCCTCACATCCGAGCTGCCCATTCCCTCTCTCACATCCCCCCACTTCTCCCCTCCCCCGCCACCAGTCTCACAATGGTCCACATGGCCTTCTGCTCGCTCCTCGCCTCCCTTCTCGTCAAGGTCTTCCGAGTGGTCGCACCCATCGCCCTCACTACAGGGATGTACCTCACATCAGTGCTGCCCATTCCTATTCCCCCCTTCTCCCCGTCCTTTTTCTCCCCCACCATCCCCTCCCCCCCACAGCAGTCTCACCACGATCCACATGGCCTTTTGATCTCTCTTCACTCACATCCGTGCCGCCCACTCCCCTCCTCCCCGCCTCTCAGGGTGTTTTTGAGAATGTTTTTGAGAATTCTCAAAAACACCGTGCCGCCCACTCCCCTCCTCCCCGCCTCTCACCACCCACCAGTCTCACAATGGTCCACATGGCCTTCTGCTCGCTCCTCGCCTTCTCGTCAAGGTCTTCCGAGTGGTCGAACCAACCCATCTCCCTCTCTACAGAGATAGATGTACCTCACATCAGTGCTGCCCCTCCCCTTTCCCCCTTTCTTTACCCCTCTTTCCCCCCCTGTCTCCCCCCACCAGTCTCACCATGATCCACATGGCCTTCTGCTCGCTCCTCGCCTTCCTATTGGTCAAAATCTTCAAAGTGGTCGAACCCATCGCCCTCTCTACAGAGATGTATCTCACATCAGTGCTGCCCATCGGCGCGCTCTATTCTCTCAGCCTCTGGTTCTCCAACTCAGCCTACATCTACCTTTCTGTCTCGTTCATTCAGGTAAGTAATCGATGCTGTTCGGCCCTCACCGCACCACACCGCACCATACCACACCTCATCCTCACCTCACCTCACCTCACCTCCCCATCGGCGCGCTCTACTCGCTCAGCCTCTGGTTCTCCAACTCGGCCTACATCTACCTTTCTGTCTCGTTTATTCAGGTGGGTAGTGGGTGTATGCTGGCCACACCGCACCACACCACACCTCACCACGCCACACCTCACCACGCCACACCTCACCACACCTCACCTCACTTCTGTGCTCCACATCGGCGCGCTCTACTCGCTCAGCCTCTGGTATTCCAACTCCGCCTACATCTACCTCTCCGTTTCCTTCATTCAGGTAAGTAACCGCTAGTGTTCTGCCCACACCACACCGCACCACACTGCACCATACCACACCTCATCCTCACCTCACCTCCCCATCGGCGCGCTCTACTCGCTCAGCCTCTGGTATTCCAACTCCGCCTACATCTACCTCTCCGTTTCCTTCATTCAGGTGGGTAACCGCTAGTGTTCTGCCCACACCACACCGCACCACACTGCACCATACCACACCTCATCCTCACCTCACCTCCCCATCGGCGCGCTCTACTCGCTCAGCCTCTGGTATTCCAACTCCGCCTACATCTACCTCTCCGTTTCCTTCATTCAGGTAAGTCACCGCTAGTGTTCTGCCCATACCACACCGCACCACACTGCACCATACCACACCTCATCCTCACCTCACCTCCCCATCGGCGCGCTCTACTCGCTCAGCCTCTGGTATTCCAACTCCGCCTACATCTACCTCTCCGTTTCCTTCATTCAGGTAAGTAACCGCTAGTGTTCTGCCCACACCACACCGCACCACACTGCACCATACCACACCTCATCCTCACCTCACCTCCCCATCGGCGCGCTCTACTCGCTCAGCCTCTGGTATTCCAACTCCGCCTACATCTACCTCTCCGTTTCCTTCATTCAGGTGGGTAACCGCTAGTGTTCTGCCCACACCACACCGCACCACACTGCACCATACCACACCTCATCCTCACCTCACCTCCCCATCGGCGCGCTCTACTCGCTCAGCCTCTGGTATTCCAACTCCGCCTACATCTACCTCTCCGTTTCCTTCATTCAGGTAAGTAACCGCTAGTGTTCTGCCCACACCACACCGCACCACACTGCACCATACCACACCTCATCCTCACCTCACCTCCCCATCGGCGCGCTCTACTCGCTCAGCCTCTGGTATTCCAACTCCGCCTACATCTACCTCTCCGTTTCCTTCATTCAGGTAAGTCACCGCTAGTGTTCTGCCCATACCACACCGCACCACACTGCACCATACCACACCTCATCCTCACCTCACCTCCCCATCGGCGCGCTCTACTCGCTCAGCCTCTGGTATTCCAACTCCGCCTACATCTACCTCTCCGTTTCCTTCATTCAGGTAAGTAACCGCTAGTGTTCTGCCCACACCACACCGCACCACACTGCACCATACCACACCTCATCCTCACCTCACCTCCCCATCGGCGCGCTCTACTCGCTCAGCCTCTGGTATTCCAACTCCGCCTACATCTACCTCTCCGTTTCCTTCATTCAGGTGGGTAACCGCTAGTGTTCTGCCCACACCACACCGCACCACACTGCACCATACCACACCTCATCCTCACCTCACCTCCCCATCGGCGCGCTCTACTCGCTCAGCCTCTGGTATTCCAACTCCGCCTACATCTACCTCTCCGTTTCCTTCATTCAGGTAAGTAACCGCTAGTGTTCTGCCCACACCACACCGCACCACACTGCACCATACCACACCTCATCCTCACCTCACCTCCCCATCGGCGCGCTCTACTCGCTCAGCCTCTGGTATTCCAACTCCGCCTACATCTACCTCTCCGTTTCCTTCATTCAGGTAAGTAACCGCTAGTGTTCTGCCCACACCACACCGCACCACACTGCACCATACCACACCTCATCCTCACCTCACCTCCCCATCGGCGCGCTCTACTCGCTCAGCCTCTGGTATTCCAACTCCGCCTACATCTACCTCTCCGTTTCCTTCATTCAGGTAAGTAACCGCTAGTGTTCTGCCCACACCACACCGCACCACACTGCACCATACCACACCTCATCCTCACCTCACCTCCCCATCGGCGCGCTCTACTCGCTCAGCCTCTGGTATTCCAACTCCGCCTACATCTACCTCTCCGTTTCCTTCATTCAGGTGGGTAACCGCTAGTGTTCTGCCCACACCACACCGCACCACACTGCACCATACCACACCTCATCCTCACCTCACCTCCCCATCGGCGCGCTCTACTCGCTCAGCCTCTGGTATTCCAACTCCGCCTACATCTACCTCTCCGTTTCCTTCATTCAGGTAAGTCACCGCTAGTGTTCTGCCCATACCACACCGCACCACACTGCACCATACCACACCTCATCCTCACCTCACCTCCCCATCGGCGCGCTCTACTCGCTCAGCCTCTGGTATTCCAACTCCGCCTACATCTACCTCTCCGTTTCCTTCATTCAGGTAAGTAACCGCTAGTGTTCTGCCCACACCACACCGCACCACACTGCACCATACCACACCTCATCCTCACCTCACCTCCCCATCGGCGCGCTCTACTCGCTCAGCCTCTGGTATTCCAACTCCGCCTACATCTACCTCTCCGTTTCCTTCATTCAGGTGGGTAACCGCTAGTGTTCTGCCCACACCACACCGCACCACACTGCACCATACCACACCTCATCCTCACCTCACCTCCCCATCGGCGCGCTCTACTCGCTCAGCCTCTGGTATTCCAACTCCGCCTACATCTACCTCTCCGTTTCCTTCATTCAGGTAAGTAACCGCTAGTGTTCTGCCCACACCACACCGCACCACACTGCACCATACCACACCTCATCCTCACCTCACCTCCCCATCGGCGCGCTCTACTCGCTCAGCCTCTGGTATTCCAACTCCGCCTACATCTACCTCTCCGTTTCCTTCATTCAGGTAAGTCACCGCTAGTGTTCTGCCCATACCACACCGCACCACACTGCACCATACCACACCTCATCCTCACCTCACCTCCCCATCGGCGCGCTCTACTCGCTCAGCCTCTGGTATTCCAACTCCGCCTACATCTACCTCTCCGTTTCCTTCATTCAGGTAAGTAACCGCTAGTGTTCTGCCCACACCACACCGCACCACACTGCACCATACCACACCTCATCCTCACCTCACCTCCCCATCGGCGCGCTCTACTCGCTCAGCCTCTGGTATTCCAACTCCGCCTACATCTACCTCTCCGTTTCCTTCATTCAGGTGGGTAACCGCTAGTGTTCTGCCCACACCACACCGCACCACACTGCACCATACCACACCTCATCCTCACCTCACCTCCCCATCGGCGCGCTCTACTCGCTCAGCCTCTGGTATTCCAACTCCGCCTACATCTACCTCTCCGTTTCCTTCATTCAGGTAAGTAACCGCTAGTGTTCTGCCCACACCACACCGCACCACACTGCACCATACCACACCTCATCCTCACCTCACCTCCCCATCGGCGCGCTCTACTCGCTCAGCCTCTGGTATTCCAACTCCGCCTACATCTACCTCTCCGTTTCCTTCATTCAGGTAAGTAACCGCTAGTGTTCTGCCCACACCACACCGCACCACACTGCACCATACCACACCTCATCCTCACCTCACCTCCCCATCGGCGCGCTCTACTCGCTCAGCCTCTGGTATTCCAACTCCGCCTACATCTACCTCTCCGTTTCCTTCATTCAGGTAAGTCACCGCTAGTGTTCTGCCCATACCACACCGCACCACACTGCACCATACCACACCTCATCCTCACCTCACCTCCCCATCGGCGCGCTCTACTCGCTCAGCCTCTGGTATTCCAACTCCGCCTACATCTACCTCTCCGTTTCCTTCATTCAGGTAAGTAACCGCTAGTGTTCTGCCCACACCACACCGCACCACACTGCACCATACCACACCTCATCCTCACCTCACCTCCCCATCGGCGCGCTCTACTCGCTCAGCCTCTGGTATTCCAACTCCGCCTACATCTACCTCTCCGTTTCCTTCATTCAGGTAAGTAACCGCTAGTGTTCTGCCCACACCACACCGCACCACACTGCACCATACCACACCTCATCCTCACCTCACCTCCCCATCGGCGCGCTCTACTCGCTCAGCCTCTGGTATTCCAACTCCGCCTACATCTACCTCTCCGTTTCCTTCATTCAGGTAAGTCACCGCTAGTGTTCTGCCCATACCACACCGCACCACACTGCACCATACCACACCTCATCCTCACCTCACCTCCCCATCGGCGCGCTCTACTCGCTCAGCCTCTGGTATTCCAACTCCGCCTACATCTACCTCTCCGTTTCCTTCATTCAGGTAAGTAACCGCTAGTGTTCTGCCCACACCACACCGCACCACACTGCACCATACCACACCTCATCCTCACCTCACCTCCCCATCGGCGCGCTCTACTCGCTCAGCCTCTGGTATTCCAACTCCGCCTACATCTACCTCTCCGTTTCCTTCATTCAGGTAAGTAACCGCTAGTGTTCTGCCCACACCACACCGCACCACACTGCACCATACCACACCTCATCCTCACCTCACCTCCCCATCGGCGCGCTCTACTCGCTCAGCCTCTGGTATTCCAACTCCGCCTACATCTACCTCTCCGTTTCCTTCATTCAGGTAAGTAACCGCTAGTGTTCTGCCCACACCACACCGCACCACACTGCACCATACCACACCTCATCCTCACCTCACCTCCCCATCGGCGCGCTCTACTCGCTCAGCCTCTGGTATTCCAACTCCGCCTACATCTACCTCTCCGTTTCCTTCATTCAGGTAAGTAACCGCTAGTGTTCTGCCCACACCACACCGCACCACACTGCACCATACCACACCTCATCTTCACCTCACCTCCCCATCGGCGCGCTCTACTCGCTCAGCCTCTGGTATTCCAACTCCGCCTACATCTACCTCTCCGTTTCCTTCATTCAGGTGGGTAACCGCTAGTGTTCTGCCCACACCACACCGCACCACACTGCACCATACCACACCTCATCCTCACCTCACCTCCCCATCGGCGCGCTCTACTCGCTCAGCCTCTGGTATTCCAACTCCGCCTACATCTACCTCTCCGTTTCCTTCATTCAGGTAAGTAACCGCTAGTGTTCTGCCCACACCACACCGCACCACACTGCACCATACCACACCTCATCCTCACCTCACCTCCCCATCGGCGCGCTCTACTCGCTCAGCCTCTGGTATTCCAACTCCGCCTACATCTACCTCTCCGTTTCCTTCATTCAGGTAAGTAACCGCTAGTGTTCTGCCCACACCACACCGCACCACACTGCACCATACCACACCTCATCCTCACCTCACCTCCCCATCGGCGCGCTCTACTCGCTCAGCCTCTGGTATTCCAACTCCGCCTACATCTACCTCTCCGTTTCCTTCATTCAGGTAAGTAACCGCTAGTGTTCTGCCCACACCACACCGCACCACACTGCACCATACCACACCTCATCCTCACCTCACCTCCCCATCGGCGCGCTCTACTCGCTCAGCCTCTGGTATTCCAACTCCGCCTACATCTACCTCTCCGTTTCCTTCATTCAGGTAAGTAACCGCTAGTGTTCTGCCCACACCACACCGCACCACACTGCACCATACCACACCTCATCCTCACCTCACCTCCCCATCGGCGCGCTCTACTCGCTCAGCCTCTGGTATTCCAACTCCGCCTACATCTACCTCTCCGTTTCCTTCATTCAGGTGGGTAACCGCTAGTGTTCTGCCCACACCACACCGCACCACACTGCACCATACCACACCTCATCCTCACCTCACCTCCCCATCGGCGCGCTCTACTCGCTCAGCCTCTGGTATTCCAACTCCGCCTACATCTACCTCTCCGTTTCCTTCATTCAGGTGGGTAACCGCTAGTGTTCTGCCCACACCACACCGCACCACACTGCACCATACCACACCTCATCCTCACCTCACCTCCCCATCGGCGCGCTCTACTCGCTCAGCCTCTGGTATTCCAACTCCGCCTACATCTACCTCTCCGTTTCATTCATTCAGGTAAGTAACCGCTAGTGTTCTGCCCACACCACACCGCACCACACTGCACCATACCACACCTCATCCTCACCTCACCTCCCCATCGGCGCGCTCTACTCGCTCAGCCTCTGGTATTCCAACTCCGCCTACATCTACCTCTCCGTTTCCTTCATTCAGGTAAGTAACCGCTAGTGTTCTGCCCACACCACACCGCACCACACTGCACCATACCACACCTCATCCTCACCTCACCTCCCCATCGGCGCGCTCTACTCGCTCAGCCTCTGGTATTCCAACTCCGCCTACATCTACCTCTCCGTTTCCTTCATTCAGGTAAGTAACCGCTAGTGTTCTGCCCACACCACACCGCACCACACTGCACCATACCACACCTCATCCTCACCTCACCTCCCCATCGGCGCGCTCTACTCGCTCAGCCTCTGGTATTCCAACTCCGCCTACATCTACCTCTCCGTTTCCTTCATTCAGGTAAGTAACCGCTAGTGTTCTGCCCACACCACACCGCACCACACTGCACCATACCACACCTCATCCTCACCTCACCTCCCCATCGGCGCGCTCTACTCGCTCAGCCTCTGGTATTCCAACTCCGCCTACATCTACCTCTCCGTTTCCTTCATTCAGGTAAGTAACCGCTAGTGTTCTGCCCACACCACACCGCACCACACTGCACCATACCACACCTCATCCTCACCTCACCTCCCCATCGGCGCGCTCTACTCGCTCAGCCTCTGGTATTCCAACTCCGCCTACATCTACCTCTCCGTTTCCTTCATTCAGGTAAGTAACCGCTAGTGTTCTGCCCACACCACACCGCACCACACTGCACCATACCACACCTCATCCTCACCTCACCTCCCCATCGGCGCGCTCTACTCGCTCAGCCTCTGGTATTCCAACTCCGCCTACATCTACCTCTCCGTTTCCTTCATTCAGGTAAGTAACTGCTAGTGTTCTGCCCACACCACACCGCACCACACTGCACCATACCACACCTCATCCTCACCTCACCTCCCCATCGGCGCGCTCTACTCGCTCAGCCTCTGGTATTCCAACTCCGCCTACATCTACCTCTCCGTTTCCTTCATTCAGGTAAGTAACCGCTAGTGTTCTGCCCACACCACACCGCACCACACTGCACCATACCACACCTCATCCTCACCTCACCTCCCCATCGGCGCGCTCTACTCGCTCAGCCTCTGGTATTCCAACTCCGCCTACATCTACCTCTCCGTTTCCTTCATTCAGGTAAGTAACCGCTAGTGTTCTGCCCACACCACACCGCACCACACTGCACCATACCACACCTCATCCTCACCTCACCTCCCCATCGGCGCGCTCTACTCGCTCAGCCTCTGGTATTCCAACTCCGCCTACATCTACCTCTCCGTTTCCTTCATTCAGGTAAGTAACCGCTAGTGTTCTGCCCACACCACACCGCACCACACTGCACCATACCACACCTCATCCTCACCTCACCTCCCCATCGGCGCGCTCTACTCGCTCAGCCTCTGGTATTCCAACTCCGCCTACATCTACCTCTCCGTTTCCTTCATTCAGGTAAGTAACCGCTAGTGTTCTGCCCACACCACACCGCACCACACTGCACCATACCACACCTCATCCTCACCTCACCTCCCCATCGGCGCGCTCTACTCGCTCAGCCTCTGGTATTCCAACTCCGCCTACATCTACCTCTCCGTTTCCTTCATTCAGGTGGGTAACCGCTAGTGTTCTGCCCACACCACACCGCACCACACTGCACCATACCACACCTCATCCTCACCTCACCTCCCCATCGGCGCGCTCTACTCGCTCAGCCTCTGGTATTCCAACTCCGCCTACATCTACCTCTCCGTTTCCTTCATTCAGGTAAGTAACCGCTAGTGTTCTGCCCACACCACACCGCACCACACTGCACCATACCACACCTCATCCTCACCTCACCTCCCCATCGGCGCGCTCTACTCGCTCAGCCTCTGGTATTCCAACTCCGCCTACATCTACCTCTCCGTTTCCTTCATTCAGGTAAGTAACCGCTAGTGTTCTGCCCATACACGCCCCCCTCAGATGCTGAAGGCCCTCATGCCTCGTGCCGTCCGTCTACCTCCTCGGAGTGCACTCTCTCGAGAGGCCTTCCAATATTCTCTGACCCTCGACTCGTGTCGTATGTTCTCTTCTCTCCCACTTTCCCCCCCCCCCCCCTCGTCTCCCCCATATTCGTCCCTCTCAGATGCTCAAGGCCCTCATGCTAGTCGCTGTCTACCTTCTAGGGGTGCTCTTCACGCGAGAGGCCTTCCTATCTCCCAACCCCACAGCACTCTCTCTCAACCCCTCCAACCCCCCAACACTCCCTTCTCAGATGCTCAAGGCCCTCATGCCAGTCGCTGTGTATCTCCTCGGAGTGCTCTTCACTCAAGAGGTCTTCCGTACTTCTGCATTTGCCAACATGGTAGCCATCACAGTGGGGGTGGCCGTGGCAGTGTATGGGGAGGCGAGTCACACAGGGTCTCCTCCTGCACTCGTGTGGTTCCTCCCTCCCTCCACCCTTCTTCACACAGATGCTCAAGGCCCTCATGCCAGTCGCTGTGTATCTTCTTGGGGTCCTCTTCACACGAGAGGTCTTCTGAACCTCTTCTCTACCCTTCCTCCCCACCCCCCCTTTCACGCCCCTCTCAGATGCTCAAGGCCCTCATGCCAGTCGCAGTGTATCTCCTCGGAGTGCTCTTCACCCCAGAGGTCTTTAAAACCTCTGCCTTTGCCAACATGGTAGCCATCACACAGTTGGGGTGGCCGTGGCAGCGTATGGGTAGGCGCATTTCCCTTCACTCATCTCCCCGTCACTCCGTCTTCCCCCCGCGACCCCGCATACACTCCCTCCTCTCAGATGCTCAAGGCCCTCATGCCAGTCGCAGTCTATCTCCTCGGAGTCCTCTTCACACGAGAGGTCTTCAGAACCTCTGCCTTTGCCAACATGGTAGCAATCACAGTGGGGGTGGCCGTGGCGGCGTATGGGGAGGCAAATTTTAACGTCACTGGTGTGCTGCTGCAGCTTGCAGCTGTGTGCTTTGAGGCCCTACGTCTTGTTCTTATACAGGTGAGCGTGGATAGAAGGACTTTAAGAATCTGCCTTTAGTTGTTGGGCTGAGTATCCAGCATGGGGGTAGCTGTGGCGGCGTATGGGGATGCGAATTTCAACCTTACCGGGGTGCTGCTGCAGCTTGCAGCTGTGTGCTTTGAAGCCCTGCGCCTCGTTCTCATACAGGTGAGCGTCAGCTCTAGGTTCGCCCTTAGTTCTGAGGCCCGGCCCAACAAGGGATTTCCCAGCAGATTTGCAATCGCTGTAGGTGTGGCCGTGGCGTGGCGGCGCATGGGGAGGCGAATTTCAACGCCTGAGGGGTCCTTGTCCAGGTGAGATGGGTTTTCAGCGGGGTATCGATCAGTGATCGCGGATTTCAGTAGGGGTGGCTGTGCCAGCGTATGGGGAGGCGGATTTCAACGCCATTGGATGGAGTGCTGATGCAGCTTGCAGCTGTGTGCTTTGAAACCATGCGCCTTGTTCTCATTCTCATAGAGATGAGATGGGCGGGGTATTGATCAGTGATCGCCGATTACAGTAGGGGTGGCCGTGGCGGCGTATGGGGGGCACAGGGGTGCTGCTGCAGCTGGGGGCAGTGTGCTTTGAAGCCCTGCGCCTTGTTCTCAACTTCTCATACAGATGAGTGTGGGTTGTAGACTTGAAGCTCTTGTCGCTACTGTTGAGTAGACCCAACAAGGGTTCCACACATGGTAGCCGTCACAGTGACGTTTGAGTCGACTCTTGTATTTTGAGTCGACTCTTGTATTTTGAGTCGACTCTTGGATTTTGAGTCGACTCAAAAGTCATCTAGTGTTGAGTGGGCCCAACAAGGGTTCAACAAATGGTAGCAATCACAGTGGGGGTGGCCATGGCGGCGTATGGGGAGGCGAATTTCAACGCCACAGGGGTGCTTCTGCAGCTGGGGGCGGGTTGTTTCGAGGCTCTATTTCACACCTGTGTGTGCGCTGCCGTTTCATGCCTGTCTCCTGATGCTGCAGGGTATTTCTGAGAATTCTAAAAAAATACACCTGTGCGCTGCTGTTTTTTCCACCGCTGCATCTCTTTTATTTCTCGTACCTATTACTCACTTGATTCTCCTACCCTCACTTGATTTCCGTTTCCCTTGCTTGAGTTCCCCTCCCCTGTCTTTCACTCTCCCCATCACAGATTTCCTTAACAGCCAAGGGCGTGTCCCTCAACCCCATCACACCGCTCTTCACCCTTCTCAGATCCTATCCCTCCACCTTTCGCCCCCATCCCATGAGCCCCTGCCTCCCCAACCTCCCATTTCTCCCCTTCACCTTTCTCTTCTAACCTCCCAGCTTGTATTTTGACAGCCAAGGGCGTGTCCCTCAACCCCATCACACCGCTCTTCTACATCTCCCCCGTCTGCCTCCTCTTCCCCTCCCTCCCCTGGCTACTCGTCGAGTACCCTCGCCTCGCTCCCATCTCCCACCTCTACTTTCCGTGCCTCTCTCCCTTTTGCACCTACTTCTCACCCCTTCCCACACCTTTTTTCTCCCTCTTATTCCTGTCCCCACTTCGTCCCTTGCCTGCAGATTCTCCTCACAGCCAAGGGCGTGTCTCTCAACCCCATCACATCCCTCTTCTACATCTCTTCTACCCTTCTTCGATCCTCCTCACCCCACTTGCGCCCCTCTATACCTTTCTCTCTCCCCACACCACACCGCAGATCCTCCTCACAGCAAAGGGCGTCTCTCTCAACCCCATCACATCCCTCTTCTACATCTCCCCCGTCTGCCTCCTCTTCCTCTCCCTGCCCTGGCTGACCGTTGAGTAACCCCGCATCGCTCCCATTCCTGTGTCTCCACACCTTCGCTTCCCCACAGATCCTCCTAACAGCAAAGGGCGTCTCCCTCAACCCCATCACATCACTCTACTACATCTCGCCCGTCTGCCTCCTCTTCCTCTCCCTCCCCTGGATTCTCGTCGAGTACCCCCGCCTCGCTCCCTCGCTCACCATCCCCGCTCAACCTGCGCTCATCCTTTTCCTCGCCAACTGCGCGTGTGCCTTCTCGCTCAACCTCGCTGTGTTTCTGCTCATTGGGAAGACGTCAGCTCTCACCATGAACGTGGCAGGTACGTAGTGGGGGGTATGTGGAAGGTACATGGAAAGTACGTGGAAGGTACGTATTGGTCCCTCTCTTGCCATCCCCTCCCAACCTGCATTCGTCCTGTTCCTCGCCAACTGCGCGTGTGCCTTCTCGCTCAACCTCGCCGTCTTCTTGCTCATTGGGAAAACGTCAGCTCTTACAATGAACGTAGCAGGTATGCATTATGTGCAAGCCTGCAAGGCACATGCAAGGTACGGATCGCTCTCCCTCGCTCACCATCCCGGCTCAACCTGCTCTCGTCCATTTCCTTGCCAACTGCGCCTGTGCTTACTCGCTCAACCTCCCTGTGTTTCAGCTCTCACCATGAACGTTGCAGGTACGTAGTGGCAAGCAGGGACGTAGTGGCAAGCAGGGACGTAGTGGCAAGCAGGGACGTAGTGGCAAGCAGGGACGTAGTGGCAGGCAGGGACGTAGTGGCAGGCAGGGACGTAGTGGCAGGCAGGGACGTAGTGGCAGGCAGGGACGTAGTGGCAGGCAGGGACGTAGTGGCAGGCAGGGACGTAGTGGCAGGCAGGGACGTAGTGGCAGGCAGGGACGTAAGGGGGGTATGTGGAAGTAACTCGAAGGTAAATTAGAAGGTACGTACGTGGAAGGTATATGGCAGGTAGTAGGTACAATAAGCCTGCCATCGTGCTTCTCGTACCCAACTCCACTGCTGGTAACCCGTTTCTCAGAATCATCCCTCCTGCTCTTCCCTCCCATGCCACATAGCTTCTCGTGCTTTGCTGACGTGGCTGAGTTGCTTTTACAATAGGACCCGCTGTTAATAGTATTCTCAATATTTGATCCGCGACGATCCACGACGATCCACGCCGCCTCATTCATGACGATCCATGACGAGCCTTGTTCCAAAATCCTTAACTCTATTTCATCCCTTTTTGTGTGTCTCGGGAGTGGTTAAGCACTGCTTTGCTGATTGCATTCCCATGGCCGGTTATCCCCGATCGAGCCATGGAAATTCAACCGCGTTCCAAATGTCTTACCTTTATTCATCCCCTTTATTGCGTGCCTCAGGAGTGGTTAAGGACTGGCTGCTGATTGCGTTCTCATGGTCGGTTATCCGCGACAGAGTCACAGCAATCAATCTACTTGGCTATCTTCTGGCCTTTGTGGGGGTTTGCTGGTACAACAGCATGAAGCTACAGGTACAGTATATTCAACCCACAGGTGTTAAGATATAGAAAGGATCCAGTTGCTGTAATTGAAGCTATAGATCCAGTTAAAAGAAGGCACCAGTACTAATATACAACAAGGATGCTTGTCTCACACATGAAGGCACAGGTACAGTTCATAAGACTGCAGGAAGTAGGCCCCCCCCACAGGTACTATGTTACGAATAAGTTGTGATTACAGGTACTGATGTGGTGTCTTGTTGATGGTACCAGATGGTCCACTCCACTCTACAATATACCATGAATCCCCAGTACCCATCACTTTCTGCTCTTCCGTTCCTTCCTGGGCTGCTGCTGCTTTGTATTGTACATAGGAATTTGCACTCCTTGCTGCGTTCTGAAGTTTTTTCCCTTGATGATGCCCGCCCTTTGTTTCAACCGCTTCTCTTTCTCCCTGATTTCCTCTTTCCCTACCCCAGGAACTGAAAGCAAAGGAGACTTCCAGGAAGCTGCAGCAAGAGCAGGAGCAAAGCCAGCAGGGGGGAGCGGGGGACGAGGAGTCGGGGCATTTATTGGGTGGTGCTGAGTTGACTCAAAGGGAGCTGACTCAAAACGAGCTGACAGAAAGGTCGTTGGAATCAGGGGACTCAACAGGAAAACCAGCAGGGTGAAGTGGGTGACAAGGAGTTGGGGCATTAATTGGGACTCGAAGGGAGTTGACTCGAAGGGAGTTGACTCGAAGGGAGTTGACTTGAAGGGAGTTGACTTGAAGGGAGTTGACTCGAAGGGAGTTGATTCAACGGGAGTTGACTCAAAGGGAGTTGACTCAACGGGAGTTGACTCAAAGGGAGTTGACTCAACGGGAGTTGACTCAAAGGGAGTTGACTCAAAAGGATCTGGCGGAAAGTTCGTCGGAGTCAGGGAACTCATTGGCTGGACCCCCTAAACCAGCAGCATGAATAGGTACCATTGGAATGTCACATGGTTGTTTGAACGAACAAATACGACTACAAATCATTATGGTTGTTTTCAACTGTATAGGGAATATATAAATAATATAGGGTTGCATATGATTAGCTTGTCTAGACATTGTCCCCTCAAAGTTGCATTCGTGTTTCATAAGTTTCACTTATGTGTATATGTGATGTACTCGGCCCTTTTCAGCCTGCTGTTACAGCAGCAGTAACATCTCTTTAACGAGTACAGCCACACAGTTCCCCAGTGCAAATCCCAGGGTGATCCACGGTGCTGTGAGAGCCTTTTGAGACTGAGCTGTGAGCTGTTCGTCCCACAAGGTACAGACGGAATTCCCTCTCCTCCACGCAACGCATCACTGGTCGAAGTCGCGGGACTCTGCTAATAGGCGATAGCTGTCATAACGTTGCGATGCGATGCGATCCGGATAAGTACCCGTCCTCGCCTACTGCGTCGGACGCGCGATTCGGCTCGGGCCGGATTTACTTTCTGTATCCGTTTGTTCGAATCTCGTTTCTCGAAGACTGCTGAACCTTATCCACAGCGGCGCCGCGATCCTGACTGTTGAGTCGACACAGAAGCCATCCTGAGCGTCACCGTAACCCTGAATTTCCAAGGCGCCGAGAGGTCGTTGCTTGCACTGCACTGTACATCGCATGGCCTTGTAACACGGTTACTCCTGATCGGCTGATTACTGTCTGCGATTGGAAGAATTGGAAGAGTTGACACGGCGAGGCCATTCTTGAGAAATTTCAAAATTACACTGCATCATTGGCACGGCGAGGTCAATATTCTACCCTGACTAAGATTCTGGATAACGTCGAAAGTGTAGACAGTCGAATCGCGTTTTCACATCATTGAATCACTGATCGTCGATACGTCCAACCACCAGATCTGATTATTGTCTTCTTCGCACTGTCTGTTTCCGTTTCCAATGTCTCCTCTCTTTCCTCACGAACCTCAACCACACTCACCCTCTCTCCCCCCTCCCCTCCTCCCCGTTCTCCTTTCCCCCCTCTCTTCCCCCTCTCCAATACGCGCCTAATCCGTTCCCTCGTCCCCCCTTCTCACAGAATTTGGCAGTAACCCCGTTGTTAACCTCTCGCGCTCTTCAACGCTAAGGACAGGATGCACGCCATAGGGAAATTCTTCAAAACTGTATACGAGCTTTTTGACGATGATGACGAAGACGAGGATGACAATAACGAGGGCGAGGGTGTAGACGGGGAAGGAGGAGGCTTCTGGGATAGATCAGGAAACGGTCGCGGGTTCTGGGGGATGGGAGGAAAAGGGAGGGAGGAGGAGAGGGGAAGGAATGGAGAGAGGGAAAGGAAGAGAGGGGCGGGCGGAGGAAGGAAGGAAGAGGCGACGGGTATGGAGGGCAGGGCAAGGCGAAGGGGTGGTGGAGGGAGTAAGCAAGCGGCAGGGAGGGAGCGGCGTGGGGATGGGGATGGGCATTCGGCTGACCCAAGGGAAGAGCTTCAAACTGACAGCAACGGGCTGACGTGGCGACCTCTGATTCGGCTGGCTGAGCGCGGAGACGGAGGCGTGCAGGTGGGAGAAAGGGATGCGTGTAGAGATGCAAGAAGCCGTGGGTCAATACAGCATTGTTGCTGAGCAATGGCTGTTACATCATTGTTACTGCGTTGTCCAAACCGGTGATTGTGATGGCCCTTCGTGTCAAACCTTTGGAACGATTGTGAAAACCCTTCGTGACGACGACCCACGCAGGGATCCCATTTCGGCCATGATTCGTTGGCGCAGCATTGTTGTTTTGACTGTGGCCTGACTGTGTCTCGCATGTGTGTGCTGAGGATTTTTTTACGTTCTGTTTCCCTGGCCAGCTCGCTTCCTCTTCCCTCTCATCCCCTCTATCAATCTTCCCTGCATGGCCTATGGTGCATACCTTTTCTCTGGGACGACCACTTGTGTCGGCGCTGTTTTCTTTGGCTGGCACAGCGCTGTTGTCTGGCCTGGCTTTGTCTCGCATGTGTGTGCTCAGTGAAACGCAATCTTATCGTCTCTTCCCCCATGGGCAATATTGTTTCATCGTCACCAAGACGCGTCACCTCCCTGGATCACTTCCTTCTTCGCCTCTCTCGTTCCCACCATGATTCTTTTCTGCATGGCCTATGGTGCACCCCTGTTCTTCACCAAGACCTCACTCATTTCTCTCGCCTCCCACCACACCTCTCATTCCCTCACCAGGGCCTGACATGCTACATCGCTTCCCTTCACCAAGGCGTGTCCCGCTCCACTTCCTGTTCTCTTCCCCACCTCTCTCTTCTCACCAGGATCTGACATGCTACATCGCTTCCCTTCACCAAGGCGTGTCCCGCTCCACTTCCTGTTCTGTTCTCCACCTCTCTCTTCTCACCAGGATCTGACATGCTACATCGCTTCCCTTCACCAAGGCGTGTCCCGCTCCACTTCCTGTTCTCTTCCCCACCTCTCTCTTCTCACCAGGATCTGACATGCTACATCGCTTCCCTTCACCAAGACTTGCCCATTGTCCCTCTTTCCCCGTGCTGACCGGTTGTTCTCTTCCCATTCTCTCGTCCCCCCACCAGAGCCTGACCTGGTACATCGCTTCTCTTCACCAAGATGCAGACGGTGACGTGGCAAACGATTTTTTCGTGGAGGTGCTCCCAGCAGGAATTCACGCCAATGGGGATTATGCCGGTAGGAAGCAGCACGTTGCTGATCTATGTGGAACCACATGTCTTCCTGATTCTGCTGCCTCTGCCCCTCCTATGCCTAGAGATGCTGCTGGTGCTGATGCCGCAGCTGCTGCTGCTGCTGGTGGTGTTGGCGGCAGTGATGGGAGCAGCAGTGCTGGTAGTGGCAATGGTGGTGGTGGCAGTGGGGGTGCTAGCATTACAGGTGGCAATCATACGGATTGCAATATTGTTCAAGGCATTTCTCACAATACCTGTGAAGATCAAGGAGCCTATGGGCCAATGAGACCTGTGGGCCTTGCAGAGTGCTTGCAAGGTGATCGCTGCAGCAGAGTAAGTGAATTGCGCCCGATTTCAGCTCCTGTTGGAGCCAGATTTCTGCTTATGCGGGTTCCGACCACTCTGCTTTTCCCTTTACAAAACCAAGGGATGCTTTCTGTGAAAGAAGGAAATGTGATGGTTGGAAGTGCGATTATGTGAAGCGAATGATTTGTTGTAATTAAGAATATATAAAATCACGGATCACTGTTGGTGGGAGTCTCAAGTACTTTTGGTAAACTGGTGTGCGGACTATATTTATCACACGTTTCTATTTTCCGGGCTTTGATAATTACCGGGGGTATTTATCCTTTCGGGACTCCATCTTCATTCCACCCCCCTTTCAGTCGATCTCGACCCTAGCTTGCTGTCAGGAGCTTCCCGTTCTGAGTCCCCCGCACAGGGTGGTGATTGTGTCGATCGAATCCCCTTATCTGTACTGATACTTTTACCTTGTTCCTAGTGCTGCCTTTTGACACCTGGTTGGTTCATCCAAGGACCGCTTATTACTTTCCGCACCCGCCTGATCCAGAAGTTTCGTATGTGTCACATGACCGTGCGTTCATTTGGAACCCGCTGAAACACAAGTTCTGCGATTTCCTTCACAACTTCTTACGCGCGTTTTAGCAGATTCCACTTGCACTCTTGAAAATCGATACCGCGTTATGAGCGCTCGTTGATTCCCTTATTTTTGCGATCGCCTTCCATTTTGCTGTAGCGTCACTCTCCCCCGTCACCGCTTTATCGCGAATCTGCTGCTGTAGGATTTCAATCGACCTGATTATTGGATCGATTAAAAAGTGTACCATCATGCAAGGAGCGGGAGCGGGAATCCCTAAGCGGGAATCCGGAAGAGGGCTGACGGACCGCAAGATATGCCTCGCGGTGACCCTAGGTGTGGTGCTGGCGGTGGTGGTGTTTACCGTTCAACGGTCACTAGAGGAGCAATCCGCTGCTGCCATTGTCGAATCTCAGGTAAGCTTGCCTGGTTACATGGAGTGTGGTTACCACAGGTATGGCAACCCTAATGCCGCTGCTGGGGGTGGTGGTGTTTGTTGTTCAACGATCACTGGAGGAACAATCCGCTGCTGCGATTGTCGAATCCCAGGTATGTTCAGATGGTTACAATCAGTGTGGTTACCACAGGGATGGCAATCCTAATGCTGCTACTGGCCGTCGTGGTGTTCACCGTTCAACGGTCACTAGAGGAACAATCCGCGGCTGCTATTGTCGAATCCCAGGTAGGTTCAGATGGTTACGATCAGTGTGGTTCCACACGAATGGCAACCCCAAAGCACATCAGCTGGTGGTGGCGTTTACTGCTCAACGGTTGGTAGAGGACTTTTGAGACGACTCGAAAGTCACCAGGGATCCAGAAAGGGGTTGGATCGCAAGATATGCCTCGCGGTGACCTTAGGTGTGGTGCTGGCGGTCGTGGTGTTCATCGTTCAACGGTCACTAGAGGAGCAATCCGCTGCTGCTATTGTCGAATCACAGGTAAGTTCAGATGGTTACAATAGTGTGGTTACCACACGGATGGCAACCCTGAAGCTGATGCAGCCGATGCCGGCATTTACCGTCAACTTCGTTAAGCTGCACTCAAAAGGGCAATCCGCGGCTGCTATTGTCGAATCACAGGTAAGTTCAGATGGTTACAATAGTGGTTACCACACGGATGGCAACCCTGAAGCTGATGCAGCCGATGCCGGCATTTACCGTCAACTTCGTTAAGCTGCACTCAAAAGGGCAATCCGCTGCTGGTATTGTCGAATCTCAGGTAGGTTCAGATGGTTACACATAGTCTGGTTACCACGGTTGGTATATCCCTGCGGGACGGGTTTCCAGTGGCCTGATTACCACCTGTATCTTGAAGTAAGTTGTGGTTGTGGTTCTGATTTTGGTTGTGATTGGCTATTTAGACGGCCATTGGCGGCCATTTGAGGAGCAGCGCTTGAAATATTATTTACTTTCTCACTTGGTTTTATGTTCTCACCACTCCTACTTGTGTGACAGACAGATTGGTTACAAGTGCTCTGATCACCACCAGATTGTGACATTGGGGTGTCCCTTTCGTCCTTCCACCATTCCGTTTTCTTTCCTCGGCGTTGCCTCTTGCACCGCCTTCGTTTTCCCTTCCGCTCAATTCTCGTCACACTCACGTATACAGTTTGTCCTCCTTTTGCTCCCTCTCTCTCGCCATTCCCTCCCCATCCCTGTCTTCTTTCCCAATTTTGTTTCCAACAGCCCGGATTCCCGCCACTGTCTCCAGACCCAGAAGAGCGAGCCGAGCAGATCCATGCGCAAACCGAATCTGCCCGGAAAAAAATCGAGGAGCTGCAAGCAACCATAAAGTCTATCGAAAGATCGCGAGACGAGACGAAGGAACGCTTGAACCTGCTTCTCTCTCAGGCACAAACCTTGGGGGGAGGGGAGGGATCAGATAAAGACGGTTCTTCAGCCATCAGGGTGATTGAAGGCACGGGAATGCCGGACCAGCCGAGTGCATTCAAGCCGGTTCGGGCCGGACCTGCCGGAAAGGTTCGGTTTCCCCGAACCAACCCTCCGGTGGTTCCGAGTTCGGAGGGGGTCGATCCAGCCTTGGAGTCTCTTCTGCTGAAAATAGCTTCGGAGAAAGAGATTTTAGCCACTGTTGCTGCAGCCGAAGTGCAGAATTTCATGGAGATCTGGATAAGGCAAGTGGTGAGAGTCGGAATCACCAATGCTCTCGTCCTCTGCCTGGATCCTGCTACCGAAGCAGCTTGTAACGCAGCCTCAGCGAACCAGGTCACCTGCTACCTCGTCCCGAACCTCCCCGCCGCGTTCGCACCCCCGCAAGCCTCGTCAAACGAGAGCCCGAACCAGCGTCTAGCTTCAGTAATCGACAGCCTAAACGGCGCGAAATTCTACGTGTTACGAGACGCTCTAGCCCTAGGATACTCCATCTTAGTTTCCGACCTCGACGTTACCATTCTCCGTAACCCATTCTCTTCAGGAGAGCTAGTCCGGGACTGTGACATAGAAGCCATGAGCGTGGGGCACGATCAAGCATCCGCGTACGGTTACAACGACGTTACCGACGATCCGTCTATGGGCTGGGCCAGATACGCCCACACAATGCGGGTATTCGCCATGGATTCCGGCTTCTTCCTGGTCCGCCCCACTGCTCCCGCTTTAGAGCTCTTTGATCGGGTGGCGGCTCGGCTGGGAGCGGCATCGAGAGGAGGGGGCGGGATTTCGGGGCTGGTGAGCCCTCTGGTGGTGTTTAATGAGGAGATGTTCTACCCCTCGCGGCCGGACTACAAGGGCGTGTTCATCTCCCGGCGTGTGCTGGACATCCATCGGTTTATCAACTCTAAGGTAGACCGCCCTTGCTCTTGCCAACGTGTCGAATTCTCATTCGGAATGTCTGTGGTGTGCCAGCCTCCATGTTTCCTTCTCTATCTTCCCCATCCTCCTTATAAGCCACTCTTGCAGAACTGAATACTGGGCCGAAGTCTTATACGGGATCCACTCTAACTTTACCATATTCCAGTCCCCTATTTCTCTTCCCTCAACCCCCTTATAGGTGTTTTTCAAAGAGCTCAAGCAGGACTATGGCATGCTGTTTTTTACTCGACTCAATAGTCACCTGGACCATCTTCCAGTCTCCCGTCTCTATTTCATCATCCCCCTTTTAGGTTCTCTTCGGAGAGCTCACGAAAACTGTGGCAGGCTGCATGTTGAGTCCACTCTGAAGTCACATTGACCATTTTCTTATCCCCCTCCCTTTATAGGTACTGTTCAAGGAGCTCAAGCGGGACTATGGCAGGCTGCAGTCTTTGGTGGGGTCAGCAGTGGCTGTGCATGTCAATTACCATGTCGATAAGCTCATGCGCTTCTCAGCCGTCACCTCGTTCTTCATGGACCGGGAGCGAGCCGCCTTTGATTCCTTACCCCTGGCCTCCTCCTGAAGCGGCATCAAGTTGCTTTCTACAATCAGTATGGTGGATAAGCTTGTGCACTTAGCTGTGACCTCCCTTAATCGTGTACTGCACTGCAAGTGCAGTGTGTTAACTAAGAGGAATGCCATGGAATGGATGCGGTAAGTCATCCTGCATGCTTCTTAATGACCAAATACATGTTTGGGTAATGAATTGTCAAACATCAGTGCTGTGAAACACTCTTTGGTTTGGTTAGTTGTTGTGGGAGGAAGAGGGGGTTTTGGGGGTTGGAGTGGGGTGGGGAGGAGAGGGGTGTACCCCAGCTTGCTTCTGCTGTTACACGTTTCTTGTCTGGCAACAATACCAGCCACGCGCACTGCGGAGAAGGTGGTGCGAGGGAGATGCGCACATTGCCATCACCACAACTATTTGCAACGAGCGAAATACACTGCGAAACTCTCACGAGTTGCGAAGCATCTTCGTTCTCAATCGTGCTGTTCGCCAGTTATGGCATATCATCGCAAAACGCTCAAGCATGAAACCTGTGCCTTCGAAAAGCTAGACACCCTTGCCAACCATCCTAGAAACTTGTGTGCTCGACAAGCTAGGCGGCCATGCCACCCGTCCCGAATTGTACGGCGAAACATGTGAGTTTGATAAGCTAGTAGGCGGCCGTGCCACCCATCCCGAAAATATCGCGTTACAGATGATGGCTATGCGATGGAGCTCTGTGGTCGTTAGGAGCTTTAGGAAGGATGTTTCACAGCATAATCAGATCGGTAGTTTTCCTTCACGTGCCGTCATTTCCTGTGTCCTAGAGCTCGTAATCCCGCAAGCGCCGTGGTTGATTGCTTTCGATAATTCATCATGTTCGTCAAAATGCTACTCCATCTCGCGTCAGATCTCCGCCTCAAACCAACGCCTGAAGATTCCGTGATTCACCCGATGGGCCCTCTGCATCATCAAAGATGGGATCACCGGGTTACCTTCGGAGCGAAATCCTTTCGCGGAGTCAACGAAGCTCGCCAGAGGCTTTCCAAGGAAGAGATTCCAGAAAGGTATCTGCGGTTCATGCCGCCGTCCCGGGCCAAGAGAAATGAAATGAAGGAGCTAGCTTACCGTGCAGCGTTTCGCGATGCTCTCCTTGGAAATCTTTCATTCCCGGACGCGGAGCCACCTGCGAGCGCGGAGCACGTAGCCGATTACGCGAAAAAGCTCGCCAAGCATTTCGCGAAGAACGTGTTACAAAACGACTGCGTGCGTTTGTTAAAGAACCGTCAACCGGTTTACGATTCAGTCCAGGAAGGGCCCTCTCACGATCCTAAGTTTACCACCAGAGTCATTTTACCAGACGATTGGGGCAGTTTCACTGGCCTTACCTGCCAGGCGAAAGTTGATGCGGAGCAAAGCGCGGCATTCGAGGCGTGGTGGAACGTTTTCGTGGTGGGACCGCACGTGCAAGGTGGGGAGAAGGGTACTGCAGTAGCTGATGTGGCTGGTGATGCGGCGGAGGCGGAGAGTTCTAAGGGAAATCGACGAGCAGCAGCAGAAACAGATGATGATGAGGAAGATGAAGAAGCAGCAGCAGCATCAGAAACAGATGATGATGAGGAAGATGAAGAAGCAGCAGCAGCAGCAGCATCAGAAACAGATGATGATGAGGAAGATGAAGAAGAAGCAGCAGCAGCAGCAGCAGCAGCAGCAGCAGCAGCAGCAGCAGCAGCAGCAGCAGAAACAGATGGTGATGAGGAAGATGAAGAAGCAGCAGCAGCAGCAGCAGCAGCAGCAGCAGAAACAGATGATGATGAGGAAGATGAAGAAGCAGCAGCAGCAGCAGCAGCAGCAGCAGCAGCAGCAGCAGCAGCAGCAGCAGAAACAGATGATGATGAGGAAGATGAAGAAGCAGCAGCAGCAGCAGCAGCAGCAGAAACAGATGATGATGAGGAAGATGAAGAAGCAGCAGCAGCGGTAGCAGGAGGAGGAGATGAGGAGTCTGCCAGTGGTTCTTCACCTGAGGCTTCCGACAGAGATGTGGGGTCCGTGGGAGAGCAGCGGAGGGGAAAGAGGAAGTCTGCAGAGGAATCAAGAGATGAGAAAAGGATGAAAAGGCGTAGCAAGGGGTGATTGCGAAATTTGAAGCAGACAAGCATGCATGAGGGCTTGTTAGTGGATGCATGAAGGGCTTGTCTTGTATCAGGAAGAAGGTGTGCGGGTTTGAAATGAGCACAAGAACCAAGGAGTAATCCGAACCGTAATTATGAACAGAGCGAAGAAGGTGCAGGGGAGAGGGGGCAGCAGCAATGTTGGTTAGGCAGCTGCATACGGTACAACTATCTTGGTTAGGAAGCTGCAAACAGCAATGTTGGTTAGGCAGCTGCATACAGCAATGTTGGTTAGGCAGCTGCATACAGCAATGTTAGTTAGGCAGCTGCATACAGCAATGTTGGTTAGGCAGCTGCATACAGCAATCTTGGTTAGGCAGCTGCATACAGCAATGTTGGTTAGGCAGCTGCATACAGTAATCTTGGTTATTCAGCATAGCCTACAGTGATCTTGGTAGGACTACCCACCCACCACCATACTTCCAACTTTCAGACGAGTACTGTATATATAGACAACTTACAAAGGCTGGTGTGACGACTACGTATGTACACTACTGCACTAATACACAAAGCTGCAGCATAAGACAAATCACACTTCTTCACACAGCCCGTTGCCCTGATTTCACCTACATTCGAGGAAACGATTCCCGAAGATGAAACACCGCCCATTCATCCTTCTCCTCATCCTCTTCCTCATCCTCATCCTCACCTCTTCCTCATCCTCATCCTCATCCCTCCTCATCCCCCTCACCTCCCCCCTCCACCCCACTCCCAAGCCCGTCACCGTTGGTGAAACTGTGACCCCTTAGCCCATAGTTCCTAGCCAGCCTAATCGGAACGAAAAAGGCACACTTCAACTCTCCTCCCCTTTAGCTCCTTACGCAACCCGTGCACCAGATTTCACCTTCATTCCAGCAAACGATCCCCCTAGATGCAACACAGCCCACTCATCCTCCTCATCCTCCTCCTCATCCTTGTCCTCTTCCCCCTCCCCTTCATCCCCCTCTTTCCCCACCTTCACCCCACTCACAAACCCGTCACCATCGCTCCACCCATGACCCCTCAAACCATCGTTCCCAGCAATCCGAACCGGCACAGCCAGCACTGGCGCCGGGGATGAGAATAGCACCCTTGAACCCTCCACTGTGCTTTCTCCCTTGGCTTGGATTGCTCCGATATGGACAGAGGACACTCCTTGCTGGCCGAGGCCTGGTTCCCCCCCCCAGGGGATTCCTTTGAAGAACGGGTGGGCCTTCAGCCGGGGGTAACCCCCCATGTGCCTTGAACCCAGGCGCTTCTTTGGCTCCATCTCCTGTCAGCCGCAAGAGGGGGGGGGGGGGGGGGCGGGGCGACAAGGACGATGGGGAGGGACGAGGGATGATTGCAAATCCCCCCAGGGAATTCCAAGGAAGAACGGGTGGGCTTTCAGGCGAGGGTACCCCCCCATGTACCTCGAACCCAGGCGCTTCTTTGGCTCCATCTCCTGCCAGTCACCAAGGGGGGCGGGTGGAGGGACGAGGGATGATTCAAACCCCCCCAGGGGATTCCTCAGAAGTATGGGTGGGCTTTCAGGCGAGGGTACACCCCCACGTGCCTCGACCCCAGTCGCTTGTTGGAATCTATCTCCTTCCAGTCATGGAGGAGAGGAGAGACGGGGAATAAGTCACATTGCCCCATAGGATTCCGTGGAAGAACGGGTGGGCTTTCAGCCGGGTGGGCTTTCAGCCGGGTGGGCTTTCAGCCGGGTGGGCGAGACACATGGATGCAAACAGCCCAAGGAAGGAGGAGGGTAGGGTATGTATAATAGGGAGGTAGGTTTCATTTGGATTTACATCCCTCCCAGCAGCTAGCTTAGGCATAACAAGAAGCAGTTGGCATATCAGAAGGCAGCAGACCAGCAGGCAGTTAACATACCACCAGGCAGTTGACACAGACACTGTCTGGCTGTCTCTTTAAGAGGTGACTCGATTAGTGCAGCACACACAAGCAGGCAGTTGAGAGATACACTTCCTGGTGGACTCTTCAGGAGGTGACTCGATATATGCAGTACGGACCGGTAAGCAGTCGATGAAGCTTCGAGCCTCGTTGCTGAAGTGGTTGGGGACAGTCAACTTCGTCTCCTATTGTGGGGAAGATCCACAAGAGGACCCTCTGAACTTCCAAAAGAGGAGAAGCTCGCTGGGGGACTCTTTAAGAGGCAACTCGATATATGTACTACGCGCCTGTAAGCACCTGACATAGCAGCAGGCAATTGACAGGGCTGCGAGCTTTCATTTCTGAAGTGGTTGGGTACGGTGAGGTTGCAAGAGAGGAAGTCTTCATCTTTTGAAAGAGGAGACACTTGCTGGGGTACTCTTTAAGATGAATCTCGATACATGCAGTAGGCAAAGCAGGAGGCATACCGGAAGGCAGTTGACGAGGCTGCGGCCTTCGTTGCTGAAGTGGTTGGGCTCGGTCAATTCCCGAGAGAGGATCTTCTGGAAGCACAGATACTCGCTGTGTGACTCTTTTAGCGGCAACTCAATATACGTATTACGCAGACTCACCAGTAGGCAGTTGACGAGGCTGCGGGCTTCATTGCTAAAGTAGTTTGGCACAGTGAGATCCCGAGAGAGGATCTTCTGGAAGCACAGATACTCGCTGTGTGACTCTTTTAGCGGCAACTCAATATACGTATTACGCAGACTCACCAGTAGGCAGTTGACGAGGCTGCGGGCTTCATTGCTAAAGTAGTTTGGCACAGTGAGATCCCGAGAGAGGATCTTCTGGAAGCACAGATAATGATACACTTGTTCTGGAAGCCTCGATATACCTATTAACATACACACCAGCAAGCAGTTGACGAGGCTGCGGGCTTCATTGCTGAAGTGGTTGGGCACGGTGAGATCCCGAGAGAGGATCTTCTGGAAGCACAGATACTCGCTGGCTCCCTTGAATGGCGGCACACCCACTAGCATCTGATAGATGATGCAGCCTAGCGCCCAGAGGTCAGCCCTGGGGTGGAGAGGGGTGGAGAGGGGTGAAGACGGGTGGGAAGGGGTGGAGATGGTTAACAAGGGGTAAGGAGGAGTCTGTTTAGAAGCACAGGCTCCTTTGAAGGGCGGCACACTGGCTAGCATCTGATAGATGATGTATCCTAGCGCGCAGAGGTCGGCCCTGGTGAGGGGAGGGAGAGTCGGGCAAATGAGAGACAGATTGAGAACACTGCGCCATGGTTATGTGCCGTGCAAGGGGCATGGGAGCATGGGTGCATGGGAGCATGGGAGCATGGGTGCATGGGTGCATGGGTGCATGGGTGCATGGAAGCATGGGAGCATGGGTGCGTGCATGGGAGCATGGGTGCATGGGTGCACGGAAGCACTAACATATGGGCACATGAGTGCATGAGCACATGAGCACATGAGTGCATGAGCACATGAGCACATGAGCACATGAATGCATGAGCACATGAGCACATGAGTGCATGAGCACATGAGCACATGAGTGCATGAGCACATGAGCACATGGGTGCATGGATGCAACTCACTCGAACGACACGGGCCCATCGTCCAGCAGCTCTGGAGGGACGTACTTGGATGTGCTGTGATGAGTTGAGGTGCGATAACACACGCACTAACATATGGGCACATGGGTGCATGTAACTCACTCGAACGACACGGGCCCATCGTCCAGCAGTTCCGGAGGGACGTACTCTGCTGTGCCCACGAATGACCCGCTGCGCTCATCTGTGGTGAAAGGAAAAGAAAGTAAGCAAGGGCGGCATGAGGCAGTGAGAGGAGCAAGGGATTGCAAGCCAGCTCTGGAGGGACGTACTCTGCTGTGCCCACGAATGACCCGCTGCGCTCATCTGTAGTTTCAGGGAGGGAGGAGGAGAGAGAGAGAACAAGCTACGACAGCATGAGGCAGTGGGAGGAGTAAGTGGTTGGAAATCAGGACCGGAGGGATGTACTTTGCTGTGCCCAGAAACGACCCACTGCGCTCATCTGTGGTGGAGGGAGGAGAGGAGGAAGGGGTAGCAGGAGGAGACGAGGCAAAGGGCAGCTACCGGGGCGAGGTGAGGGATTGTCCAGCAGCAAGGTGACTTTTGAGACGACTCAAAAGTCACGGGGTGAGGGATTGTCCAGCAGCACGTGCAAGTGAGAGGCGTGAGCGGATGTGCAAATCAGATCGGGAGGGACATGCTCTGCTGTGCCCACAAACGACCCGCTTTGCTCATCTGTGGTGGAAGGGATTGTCCAGCAGCAAGGTGACTTTGCTCTGCTGCAGCAAATCAGATCGGGAGGGACATGCTCTGCTGTGCCCACAAACGACCCGCTGCGCTCATCTGCGGTGGAGGGATTGTCCAGCAGCAAGGTGACTTTGCTCTGCTGCAGCAAATCAAATCGGGAGGGACATGCTCTGCTGTGCCCACAAACGATTGTAGTGAGTCGATTTTTGAGTCGGGTGAGGCTCACAGTCGACTCAAAAACCGGGAGGGACATGCTCTGCTGTGCCCACAAACAATTCACTGCTGGTTCCAAGAACGACTTTTGAGACGTCTCAAAAGGCGTACACTGCTGGTCCGAAAAACGATTAGCAGTGCTCATCTGCAGTGGCTGGCAGAGAGACAAGAAGGAGAAGGTGAGATGAGGAGGGTAGGGAAGAGTGAAATGTGTAAGAATGAGAAATGGGAGAGAAAAGGGAGAAACAAATCAAATGGGAGACAGAGAGAACGAGAGGAAAATAGCGAAATTGGAGAAGTGAAAGGGGGTGAAGCAGTTGGGCATGAATTAGAGACCGTGGATGAAAGACGTGAAGGAAACAAGGCGGTGGTAGGATGGCTTCTGTGTGGAGGGTGGGGGGATGGCAGAGAGAAGGACGGGGGAAAGGGGGTCAAAAGGAAATGAGGAGGCGAGAAAGGAGGGGAAGAGGGAGGTGAGGAGGGATGGGAGGAGGGCGGGGGGGTGACAGGCTGTCGGGCACCCACCACTGTTGATAGCAGCAGCAGTGGCAGCTACTGCTGACGTGGCCCCAGCTGATTGGCCGTTGGTGAGCAGCTTGGCGCAGCCAAAGTCGGAGATGCGCACGTGGCCTGCTGCTGTGAGGAGAATGTTCTCCGGCTGTATTGGTTAAGGGGGAGAAGGGGTGGTGAGCGGGTAAGGAAGCGAGACAGGGGAGGGAAGGGATGCAGCCAAAGCCGGAGATGCGCACGTGGCCTGCTGCTGTGAGGAGAATGTTCTCCGGCTGTATTGGTTAAGGGGGAGAAGGGGTGGTGAGCGGGTAAGGAAGCGAGACAGGGGAGGGAAGGGATGCAGCCAAAGCCGGAGATGCGCACGTGGCCTGCTGCTGTGAGGAGAATGTTCTCCGGCTGTATTGGTTAAGGGGGAGAAGGGGTGGTGAGCGGGTAAGGAAGCGAGACAGGGGAGGGAAGGGATGCAGCCAAAGCCGGAGATGCGCACGTGGCCTGCTGCTGTGAGGAGAATGTTCTCCGGCTGTATTGGTTAAGGGGGAGAAGGGGTGGTGAGCGGGTAAGGAAGCGAGACAGGGGAGGGAAGGGATGCAGCCAAAGCCGGAGATGCGCACGTGGCCTGCTGCTGTGAGGAGAATGTTCTCCGGCTGTATTGGTTAAGGGGGAGAAGGGGTGGTGAGCGGGTAAGGAAGCGAGACAGGGGAGGGAAGGGATGCAGCCAAAGCCGGAGATGCGCACGTGGCCTGCTGCTGTGAGGAGAATGTTCTCCGGCTGTATTGGTTAAGGGGGAGAAGGGGTGGTGAGCGGGTAAGGAAGCGAGACAGGGGAGGGAAGGGATGCAGCCAAAGTCGGAGATGCGCACGTGGCCTGCTGCTGTGAGGAGAATGTTCTCCGGCTGTATTGGTTAAGGGGGAGAAGGGGTGGTGAGCGGGTAAGGAAGCGAGAAGGGGAGGGAAGGGATGCAGCCAAAGTCGGAGATGCGCACGTGGCCTGCTGCTGTGAGGAGAATGTTCTCCGGCTGTATTGGTTAAGGGGGAGAAGGGGTGGTGAGCGGGTAAGGAAGCGAGACAGGGGAGGGAAGGGATGCAGCCAAAGCCAGAGATGCGCACGTGGCCTGCTGCTGTGAGGAGAATGTTCTCCGGCTGTATTGGTTAAGGGGGAGAAGGGGTGGTGAGCGGGTAAGGAAGCGAGACAGGGGAGGGAAGGTATGCAGCCAAAGTCGGAGATGCGCACGTGGCCTGCTGCTGTGAGGAGAATGTTCTCCGGCTGTATTGGTTAAGGGGGAGAAGGGGTGGTGAGCGGGTAAGGAAGCGAGAAGGGGAGGGAAGGGATGCAGCCAAAGTCGGAGATGCGCACGTGGCCTGCTGCTGTGAGGAGAATGTTCTCCGGCTGTATTGGTTAAGGGGGAGAAGGGGTGGTGAGCGGGTAAGGAAGCGAGAAAGGGGAGGGAAGGGATGCAGCCAAAGCCGGAGATGCGCACGTGGCCCGCTGCTGTGAGGAGAATTTCTCTGGCTGGGTTGATGTGTAAAGGAGGTGGAGGGGGAAGGGGGGAGTGAGGGAAAGGGATGGGGAGCTTGGAGGTGGAGACTGAGGGAAAGTCGGAGATGCACACGTGGCCCGATGCAGTGAGGAGAATGTCCTCCGGCTGTGTGGGGCGGGAATACGCGGCCGAGGGTATATATGGGGGAGGGGAAGGGAGGGAGGGGATGGAAGATTGCACGTGGCCCGATGCAGTGAGGAGAATGTTCTCCGGCTGTGTTGAGGGAGAAGGGAGAGAATGGGGAGGCAGGGGGGGTGGGGAATATGGGAAGAAGGGAGGTAAGGGAAGGGAGAAAGGGAGGGAAGGGATGCAGTCAAAGCCGGAGATGCGCATGTGACCCGCTGCTGTGAGATGAGAAGAATGTTCTCCGGCTGTGTGGGGGGTGAGAGGGAAGGGAGGGATGGGTGGATGAGAGGGGGAGGGGAGCAAGGGGTCACTTTTGAGAATTCTCTGAAGGGAAGGTCGCATGTGGTGGGAGGCGATGCAGTGAGGTGGATGCTCTCCGGCTGTGTGGTGAGGGAGGGGGAGTGGGGGCAATGGTGGAGAAGGGGAATGGGGGAAAAGGAAGGGAGAAAGGGAGGGGAGGGAAGGGAAGCAGTTGAAGTCGGATCGGAGATGCAAACATGGCCCGATGCAGTGAGGAAAATGTTCTCTGGCTGTATTGAGGGGGTAGGGGTGGGGGAGGGAACGGGGGAAGGAGGGATGGGGGTGGGAGAAGGAGGGGAGGAAGGGGTGGGAAAGCTCGCACGTGGGAATGGAGGAGAAGTCGAAGGTGGGCGTGTGGCATTATAACGAGGTGACTTTTGAGTTGTCTCAAAAGTCACGAAGTCGAAGGTGGGCATGTCGCATAACGAGGTGACTTTTGAGTTGTCTCAAAAGTCACGAAGTCGAAGGTGGGCATGTCGCATAACGAGGTGACTTTTGAGTTGTCTCAAAAGTCACGAAGTCGAAGGTGGGCATGTCGCATAACGAGGTGACTTTTGAGTTGTCTCAAAAGTCACGAAGTCGGAGATGGGCATATGGCCTGTCCAATGCAGGTGTTTTTTTTTTTTTGGGAGAGAAATTTCAAAACACGCCACAACAGAGAGAACTCCTTGGCTATATTGGTGCGACTTTTGAGAATTCTCAAAAGTAACTCCTTGGCTGTCACCTCACCTCCTCCTCCGGCTTTCAGGCCTACACACAATTCACTGTAGATACAAGGATGTAAGCGCACAACCTCATTAGAAGCACACTTGTTATAAGCTTCACCAGTACTCACCTTAAGGTCTCTGTGCACCACTACTTATGAGTGCATGTATTCCAGCGCACACACATCCATTCAACTCATACTTGCTATGAGCTTCACCGCTGTTTACCTTAAGGTCTCTGTGCACCACTCCTTGCGAGTGCATGTACTCGAGAGCGCACACCACCTCTGCTGCATAGAAGCGAGCTTCGTCCTCTGATAGCTTGCCTTTCTGCGTGTGGAAGGAACACAGAGGAGTATAGAGGAGTAAAGATGAGTGCACAGCACACACCACCATCTCCTTGAGAATGCATGTACTCCAGAGACACACCACCTTGGCTGCTTAGATTCGAGCCTCGTCCGTCCTCTGACAGCTTGCCTTTCTGCGTGTGGAAGGAATGCAGAGTAGTACAGAGGAGCACATGTATTCGAGTGCACACACCATCACCTCCTTGCGAGTGCATGTACTCCACTGCACACACCACCTCTGCTGCATAGAACCGAGCTTCGTCCTCTGATAGCTTCCCTTCTGCACGTGTAAGAGAAGTACAGAGGAGTACAGAGGAGTACAGAGGAGCACAGAGGGATAGAGAGGAGTACATGTATTCGAGAGCACACACCACCACTGCTGCAGAAGTAGGAAGAAGAGAAGAGAGCACTGATGGATCAGAAAAACTTCCTGCATAGATAGACTAGAATGAGGTGAATTCTGAGTAAAAATGTCATGAGATATAAAACATCGAGAGACGACTTTGGTGACTTTTGAGTCGACTCAAAAGCCATGCGGTATCACATCCACCCACAGACAACTCCTGCTGCATAGGCTGGAAAAGAACCGAAGAAAAAGAAAGAGTAATGAAAGGCGAAGACTGGAGTGTGTATGAGTGCTATGCAAAAGGCGGAGTAGAGATGAGGAGAGGAACTCACTCAAAAGGATTATGATGAGGGGTAAGAGGCTACGGGCGAAGCATGTTTCGAGTCGACTCAAGACTCTCTCACACAGAGTGGTAAGAGACGAAGGGCGACGGATGGAAAAGGGAGCAACGTTGAAGGCCATACCAGTCTGATCTGGTCGAAGAGCTCTCCCCCGTGGCAGCACTCCAGGCCCATGTCTGTGGTTGGTGGGTCAGAGGGGTAGAGGGAGGGAGGGAAAGAAGGGAAGTATGGTCGACACAGAAGCAGAGCCCAGAAGCAGAGCCCAGAAGCAGAGCCCAGAAGCAGAGCCCAGAAGCAGAGCCCAGAAGCAGAGCATACACAGGGAATTCACCAGCCTAAAGACCTATCGACCAGGTTTCGCAGAGACAGTAGGTTCTTAAAGCCCAAGAATCCAGGTCTCACAGAGGCAGTGGTGGTCTTGGAACGCGAAGCGTAGGCGCACGACCCCCGGGTGGGTGCCCATCTTGACGCATGGCACCTTCCTCTCCCTCACTATGTGTCACTTCATCACCTTCACGCTAATAGAAATCTACAGGAACCAGATAAAGAGTAGCCACGTGAAGCGAGGTTGTTTTTGAGACGTCTCAGAAACAACCTCGCTTCACGCGCCTTCCTCTCCCTCACTATGTGTCACTTCTCCATCACCTTCAAAAGACACTCGTTATAAACAGCCTCACTGTAAGAATGAGGCGCTCCATCTTGATGTATGCCTCCTTCCTCTCCCTCACAATGTGTCACCCCTCCTTCCTCTCCCTCACTATGTGTCACCCCTCCTTCCTCTCTCCATCACCTTCGACGCACACTCAGCTCAGAGCCAGGCAGACTCGTCTTCGTTATATGCAGCCTCAGCCTATAAAGCCCAGAAGCAGATTATACGCAGGAGGGGATGTTCTACTTAAAGCCCAAGCCAAGCAATCCAGGTCTCACAGAGGGAGTGCTCGTCTTGGAAGGGGGAGTGCTCGTCCTGGAAGGTGAAGAGCAGTCGCACGATTCCCCGGGTGCCTCAGCCGGTCGAGAATGAGGCGCTCCATTTTTATGTATGCCACCTTCCCTTCCCTCACTATGTGCCTCTTGTCCCTCATCTTCAGTACGCAATCGGAGCCTCACCCAGAGAATTATAGCCTTCTAAAAGGCCAGAAGCAGAGAGCACACAGCACAAGGTATTCCGTGGATTCAAGCCCAAGGGCTCACAGGGAGCGCTCGCACAGGGAGCAAGCGCAGGGAGCACTGAAACATGAAGAGCAAGCGCAGGGAGCACTGAAACATGAAGAGCAAGCGCAGGGAGCACTGAAACATGAAGAGCAAGCGCAGGGAGCACTGAAACATGAAGAGCAAGCGCAGGGAGCACTGAAACATGAAGAGCAAGCGCAGGACTCCCGGGTGCCTCAGCCGGGTGAGAATTAAATGTTCCAATTTGATGCATGTCGCCTTCCCCTCCCTCACTATGTGCCGCTTGTCCATTATCTTCAAGGCGCACTCGGAAAGCTAGGCGACCACCCCTCTCATCCTCGTTACAAGCAGCCAGCCTCACGTAGAGAATCTCTCTCAGCCTAAAACTCCAAGCATACAGGCACCAGGGCTCACAGAGGGGGTGTTCGTCTTGGAAGGTGAAGAGCAGTCGCACAATTCCAGGATGCCTCAGCCGGTCAAGAATGAGGCGCTCCATTTTAATGTATGCCACCTTCCACTCCTTCACAATGTGCCGTGCCGCTTGTCCATTCCATGACCTTCAGGGCGCACTCAGAGAGTTAGGCGGACTGTGGACACCCCTCTCGTCCTCATTACAAGCAGGCAGCCTCACACAGAGAATCTCTCTCAGCCTAAAAGCCCATGCCAGCAAGCAGGGCTCACAGAGGGAGTGCTCGTCCTGGAAGGGGGAGTGCTCGTCCTGGAAGGTGAAGAGCAGGCGCACGATTCCCGGGTGCCTCAGCCGGTCGAGAATGAGGCGCTCCATTTTGATGTATGCCGCCTTCCTCTCCTTCACAATGTGCCGCTTGTCCATTATCTTCAGCGCGCACTCGGAGTGCTAGGCAAGCTGTGGACACCCCTCTCATGCTCGTTATAAGCAGCCTCACGTAGAGAATCTCTCAGCCTAAAAGCCCGAGCATCCAGGCACCATGTCTCACAGAGGGAATGCTCGTCTTGGAACGTGAAGAGCAGTCGCACGATCCCTGGGTGCCTCAGCTGGTCGAGAATGAGGCGCTCCATTTTGATGTATGCCGCCTTCCTCTCCTTCACTATGTGCCGCTTGTCCATTCATTTTCAGTGCGCACTCACAGCCAGGCGCACACCCGTCTCATCCTCCTTGTAAGCAGCCTCACTGGAAGAATCCTAGCCTCCTAAAAGCCCAGAAGCAGAGCGCACTCAACACAAGGTATTCCTTGGAGTAAAGCCCAAGAGACCAGCGCTCACAGAGGGAGTGTTCATCCTGAAACGTGAAGAGAAGGCGCACGATTCCTGGGTGTCTCAGCTGGTCGAGAATCAAACGCTCCATCTTGATGTATGCCACCTTCCTCTCCTTCACTATGTGCCGCTTGTCCATTATCTTTAGTGCGCACTCAGAGCCGGGCGGACACCCCTCGTCCTCGTTATAAGCAGCTTTGCTTGGTTTGCGGCGGGCCAGGACAACCTGGTGAGGTCGAGATGATGGGAGAAAGAAAATTAAGATTACGAAACAAAAGAGAGTGACGGTTAAGAATCCTTTAGTTTTATGCGTCCAGTTTTGGTGAAATCTTACCTTTTCAGCTGAATTACCTACTCAGCTCAACAGTTTCCCTTTCTGACATCGTTTAACACTTCCACGTCAGAGGGACGAGATGTGCGCATGTGAATTTAACTCAGAAACGTTTCAAAGAGATCTCATTAGGAGATCTCACAAACGGATCTCACCAATAGATCTCACTACATCGAGACAAATTGCAGGAGGGACTTCAAATAAGGATGAGAGAGGCTAACAACGAGGATTAAAGGGGCTCACAACGAGAATAAGTGGGGCTTACAACGAGGATGAGAAAAACATACCTTAGAGTAGGAGCCAAGACCCAGGAGTCGCCCATATGTGAAGTCTCGAGCTGAGAGAGCCAATCGCGGTGCGCCACCTGTCACTGCCGCTCCATTCGCTCCTCCAATTGCTGCTGCTCCCCCACTCCCTGCTTGTCCTCCGTTTCTTGCCCCTGAGCCACGTATCACTGCTTCATTGGCTCCTTCATTTCCCGCTAAAATCTCAGTTACCGACCCATTTCCCACTGCTCCCGAATCATCTGCTGCTGCTGCTGCTGCCGCCGCCGCAGCAGCTGCTGCTCCGTCTCCCCCCTGTGTTCCACCATTGGCTCCTACTGCGGCGCCACTGCTCGCTTTATGACTGCTTAGGTCATTAAAGGTGGCGATCATTCCGGTACTGTCTCCGTTCGCTCCGACGGCGGCCATAGGAGCCGTTGGAGACCGAGTCTTGTTTTTTGAGTCGACTCAAAAGCCGTTGGACGAGCGAGCGTTGACGAGAAATGTTAGGGAGGCTTGATGAACGATTTGGAAAAAAAAAAAAAAAAAAAAAAAACTTGACGAGTGTTCTTTCTTGATGAACGCTGGCGAATGTCCCGTTCCCCGTTCAAGGACCTTGTGCTCGCCTCAACCCCGTTGTGTCTTGAGTGGACTGAAACTCAGAACAATTCAAGTATCTGATACTCTTGGCGGCCGTTCGTGTCAACCCGCGGAGCTGCTGGCAAACTAACGCGGCGCGGAATGGCGCCTTATTCTCAAAGGGTAAGACACTGATGAAGCAACTGGACGTACCACCTACCTTATGTCGCTACTAGATTGCCAAGGAATAGATTTTAAGGCTAGCGTGAGGAAGTACGACTAACGGCCCTAGGACCAATGGCTCGTTTCGGCAAACCAGGTGCCATATACGCCCGATGACGCTCACGAAGCGACGGGTAGAATAAACGGCCTTACGTATCTGCAAAGCGCGTGTGCTATTGGTAGGAGCGGCATCAATTCCGACGTTTTCCTGACGGACGTCATTTAGAAATCGTTAGGACTAACCGGCAACCGTTAACCCTAACAACATGGGTGAGCGTGACAACGCTAAGGAGAATTGCGTTGCGATTCTAAACCGATGGATTCCGTTCGGACTACTGCCGCCTAGGACTCGCTCGCGTCGCGACCGGCTGAACTGGAGAGACCGTTGCGGTTCGACTCACTGAACTGGGCTTGCTTCGGTTTAGAATGTCGCTCAACCTGCCTCGCACAATCTCGACCGTTGAGTAGATTCGAATTGTACAGAAGCCCATCTGACGGTGCGGAAAAGTTCTGACATCAGCAGATGAAAGGCGCTACTGAGCTCAGATAGAGGTCCTCGTTATTAGACTCACGACGTTATGTCAGTCTCAAAACACTTCTGCATTCATTTGCATCAATGTGTACATCAGTTGTGATTTAGCAGAAGCAGCCATCAAATTCACCAAAATAATGTGGCTTTCACAAATTATGCCAATTATTTATTCAAGATAGTTGCACCCCTGTTCTCTTTCAGTCTACCCGAAACCAACCTTAAGGCCAGATCTGTAGCCATTCCCCTCAAAAGTCACGATCAAGTGACCTCACCTCCCCTAAAGTTGAACTCAACCTCTCTCCAGATAAAACAGGAAAACCATAACTTTACAAGACGGAGTTTCGCCACAGTAGCTCACGAACGGTTCTTACCCATCCCATGACCCCATCACTTCCACCCGCTTAGAAGTCGCCAGGTACGGTTGGTGTAGCCTCTCCCTCCCCCTCCCTCCCCTCCATCCTCCCCTCCCCCTCCCCTCTGCCTCCCCTCCGCATTCCCCTCCCTCTCTCTCCTCCCCTTCAGAAGTCGCGATTAAGCGACCTGGCTTCGGCCCATATCAAGTCCTTGATGGTTTCTTCTGGCAGCACCGGGTGCTCAAAGTCGAAGGTGAACGCCGCATGGCACACCGGCTCGTTGCCACATACAGGTGGTGCAAACTCCCCCCACCTCCCTCCTCTCCACCCTCCACTCCGCCTCTCCCTCCTCCCCTCCACCCCCCTCTCTCCCCTCCCCCCTTCCCTCGCCCTCTCCCCTCCTCCCCTTCAGAAGTCGCGATTAAGCGACCTCGCTTCGACCCATATCAAGTCCTTGATGGTCTCTTCTCGCAGCACCGGGTGCTCAAAGTCGAAGGTGAACGGCGCATGGCACACAGGCTCCTTGCCACGTACAGGTGGTGTAGCCTCTCCCTCCCTGTCCCCTCCCCTCCTTTCTCCCCTCCCCTCCTTCCTCTTCCCCTCCCCTGCCCTTCCCCTCTCCCTCCGGTCCCCTTCCCCCTCCGCTCCCCCTCCCCTTCAGAAGTCGCGGTTGAGCGACCGCGCTTCAGCCCATATCAAGTCCTTGATGGTTTCTTCTGGCAGCACCAGGTGCTCAAAGTCAAAGGTGAACGGCGCATGGCACACCGGCTCGTCACTGGTGTCGTGCAGACTCGCCAAGTACGGATGGTCTAGACTCTCCTCCACTGGAGGTGAATCGAAAAGAATGGGAAGGAAGAGAGCGAGGGAGAGGTTTGGGCTAGTGGACGGAAGAGAAGGGAGCACACCGGTTCGTCACTGATGTTGTGCAGACGAGCCAGGTAGGGATAGCCTAGACTCTCCTCCACTCGAGATTAATGGAAGGAAGGGAGAAGAGCGAAGGAGGGAAATGGCGAGCATCCACAATCACACTCACACACACACACACACACACACACACAAACACAAACACCGTGCCCACACACACACACACAAACACGAACACCGTGCCAACACACACACACACCATGAAAACCGATAATCCCACCCGTGATGAGATGGGCAGGGTTGAACAGCAGCGTCCGATCCATAAGGTCCAATGCCAGGGATGCCATGTTGGGGAGTGCAGTGCAGTAGTGAGCACGGACGAGAAGAGGCCAGTACACACCCCCACAGGGGCCATATGCACAACCAGTGGGGGCCCACACACTCACCTGTGATGTGCTTGGCAGAGTCGAACAGCAGCATTCGCCCCATAAAGGCCAAGGCAAGGGAGCCATGCTGGGGAGTGCAGCGTCACACTCACACTCGCACTCATACTCACACTCGCACTCATACTCACACTCGCACTCATACTCACGCTCGCACTCATACTCACACTCGCACTCATACTCACACTCGCACTCATACTCACACTCGCACTCATACTCACACTCGCACTCATACTCACACTCGCACTCATACTCACACTCGCACTCGTACTCACACTCGCACTCGTACTCACACTCGCACTCATACTCACACTCGCACTCGTACACACACTCGCACTCATACACACACTCGCACTCATACTCACACTCGCACTCGTACTCACACTCGCACTCGTACTCACACTCGCACTCATACTCACACTCGCACTCATACTCACAGTCGCACTCATACTCACAGTCGCACTCATACTCACACTCGCACTCATACTCACACTCGCACTCATACTCACACTCGCACTCATACTCACACTCGCACTCATACTCACACTCGCACTCATACTCACACTCGCACTCATACTCACACTCGCACTCGTACTCACACTCGCACTCATACTCACACTCGCACTCATACTCACACTCGCACTCATACTCGCACTCGCAATCATACTCGCACTCGCACTCATACTCGCACTCATACTCAGACTCACACTCATACTCACACTCGCACACATACTCACACTCGCACTCATACTCACACTCGCACTCGTACTCACACTCGCACTCACACTCGCACTCATACTCGCACTCATACTCGCACTCATACGCACTCGCACTCATACTCACACTCGCACTCATACTCGCAGTCGCACTCATACTCGCAGTCGCACTCATGCTCACACTCGCACTCATACTCACACCCGCACTCATACTCGCACTCGCACTCATACTCACACTCGCACTCATACTCACACTCGCACTCATACTCACACTCGCACTCATACTCACACTCGCAATCATACTCGCACTCGCACTCATACTCGCACTCATACTCACACTCGCACTCATACTCACACTCGCACGCACTCATACTCAGACTCGCACTCATACTCACACTCGCACACATACTCACACTCGCACTCATACTCACACTCGCACTCGTACTCACACTCGCACTCACACTCGCACTCATACTCGCACTCATACTCGCACTCATACGCACTCGCACTCATACTCACACTCGCACTCATACTCGCAGTCGCACTCATGCTCACACTCGCACTCATACTCACACCCGCACTCATACTCGCACTCGCACTCATACTCACACTCGCACTCATACTCGCACTCGCACTCATACTCGCACTCGCACTCATGCTCACACTCGCACTCATACTCACACTCGCACTCATACTCGCACTCGCACTCATACTCGCACTCGCACTCCTCCTCACACTCGCACTCATACTCACACTCGCACTCATACTCGCACTCGCACTCATACTCGCACTCATACTCACACTCGCACGCACTCATACTCAGACTCGCACTCATACTCACACTCGTACGCATACTCACACTCGCACTCATACTCACACTCGCACTCGTACTCACACTCGCACTCACACTCGCACTCATACTCGCACTCATACGCACTCGCACTCATACTCACACTCGCACTCATACTCGCAGTCGCACCCATACTCGCAGTCGCACTCATGCTCACACTCGCACTCATACTCACACCCGCACTCATACTCGCACTCGCACTCATACTCGCACTCGCACTCATGCTCACACTCGCACTCATACTCACACTCGCACTCATACTCGCACTCGCACTCATACTCGCACTCGCACTCATCCTCACACTCGCACTCATACTCACACTCGCACTCATACTCGCACTCGCACTCATACTCGCACTCATACTCGCACTCGCACTCATCCTCACACTCGCACTCATACTCACACTCGCACTCATACCCGCACTCGCACTCATACTCGCACTCGCACTCATACTCACACTCGTACTCCCATTCGCGTCCCATTACATGTGAACATAACCGTGCCACCCCCTCTGACCTATCTGTGATGCGTTTGGCATCACAGATAGGTCAGAGGGGGCAAGAGATCCAGAGCAAGAGGGGCCATGTTGGAGGGGACGCGAGCGGTGAGGGGCTGCTTGCGCTCAGATGGGAGGGGGGAGTGCACACTCACAGTTACAGCCACATTCCCATACAGCACACCTACCTGTGATGCGCTTGGCAGGATCAAACAGCAGCATCCTCTCCATGAGATCCAGAGAGAGAGGAGCCATGCTGGGGAAGCAAGCGGTGAGGGGCTGCTTGCGCTCAGATGGGAGGGGGGAGCGCACCCTCACACTTACAGCCACATTCCCATACAGCACGTCTTGTCAGCACACCTACCTGTGATGCGCTTGGCAGGATCAAACAGCAGCATCCTCTCCATGAGATCCAGAGAGAGAGGAGGCATGCTGGTGAGAGCGGTAATCAGCCCCATAAACCCGCCCATCCATTCACCCTCCTACCCACCCTCCCACCTGCCCACACTGGCCCACCTGTAATGCGCTAGGAGGGGTTGAGGAGCAGCGTCCGCTCCATGAGGTCCAGAGCCAGGGGAGCCATGTTGGGGAGTGCAGCGCCGCACTCGCACTCATACTCCCACGACTGTCCCATACATAGACCCTTCTTGTGCCACCCACTCTGACCCACCTGTGATGCGCTTGGCAGGATCAAACAGCAGCATCCGCTCCATGAGATCCAACGCCAGGGGAGCCATGTTGGGGAAGCGCGCGGCGAGGGGCTGCTTGCGCACAAAGGGCAGCGAGCGCACGTAGCGGCGCGCGTTATCACTCTCGAGGAACGAGATGTCTGAATCGTCCGGAGACCCGATGATCTGATAAGGGGAGAGGGGAAGGGGGGAACGAGGAGGGGTGGTGGTGGGGAGGGTTGGAAGGGGATACGGGCGTGATCAGGAAGGGCGTAGTGAAGGGCAGCAAGCGCACATAGCGACGTGCATTGTCATTCTCAAGGAATGAAGATGTCTGAATCTTCCGAGGACCCAATGATCTGGAGAGAGGGAGAGGGGGATGGAGAAAGATATGGGTAAGATTCGGAAGGGTGTGGTGACGGGCAGCGAATGCACGTAGCGACGAGCGTTGTCACTCTTGACGAATGACATGTCTGGATCGATGGAGACGCGATGATCTGAAGGGGTGAAGGGGAAGGGAAGGGACGAGAGGGAGGGGTGGACGGCATTCCAGGCGAGGCAAGAGAGTGCGCTACTGCGGCGTCTTCACAGGTGGTTCATGCACACTAAGAGCACTCACAGAGGTGATGAGGCGCAGCTGGTCCACATAGTCCTTGCCGGGGAACAGCGGCTCGCGATTCAGCACGGAGAGAACTCTTCACATCACAACTCTTTCAGAGAATGCCACCCACACCCACTCACACCCGGAGCACTTACGGAGGTGATGAGGCGCAGCTGGTCCACATAGTCCTTGCCGGGGAACAGCGGCTCGCGATTCAGCACGGAGAGAACTCTTCACATCACAACTCTTTCAGAGAATGCCACCCACGCCCACTCACACCCGGAGCACTTACGGAGGTGATGAGGCGCAGCTGGTCCTAGGGATGAGCAAATGGCGAACACGAACATGTTTGTGTTCGCCTGGGCTCGAACATGGCCGTTCGGCGAACCGAACACTGTTCGGTTCGCCGAACACTTTACACCAGAAAGGGTGTTCGAAGTTCGCCAAGAGAGGCGAACATTTCGAACGTTTTGGCGAACACGAACACGTTCGCCAAGAACATGTTCGTGTTCGCCTTAAAGGAGCTTCTTGGATCCAAGTAGAGTGAAATCCAAATGTTTCACATTCCCTCCCCCCACCCCCCAAGCCAGTCCCGCCCTGCTTCATCCATACTAGTGCCAGCGTGTGACGGCGAAAGGCTAGATCTGCACTTAAGCAACCGCGAAATGCTAGATCTACGCTTAAGCAACGGCGAAATGCTAGATCTGAGCTTAAGCAACGGCGAAATGCTTGATCCGCACTTAAGCAACGGCGAAATGCTAGATCTATACTTAAGCAACGGCGAAATGCCTTGATCCGCACTTAAGCAACGGCGAAATGCCTTGATCCGCACTTAAGCAGCGGCGAAATGCCTTGATCTGAGCCCTAACACCAAGGCCCGCGACCTAAAAATTGGTCGCGGGCCTATTCGTCGACGAACACCAATGTGTTCGTCGAAGGCCCGTGTCGAACACGAACACGTTCGTGTTCGACGCGCCTCGGCCAGCTGAGCCGGGCGAACGGCGAACGTGTTCGGGCGAACACCGAACACGTTCGCCCCGAACAATTTAGGCCAAAAAAAAATCCTGTTCGGTTCGCCTCGAACACGTTCGAGGCGAACCGAACAGGTGTTCGACATATTGCTCATCCCTAGCTGGTCCACATAGTCCTTGCAGGGGAACAGCGGCTCGCGATTGAGTATGGAGGGGAGGGGATGTATGAGAGGCTGCACCGACCTGTTTTGAGTCCACCTACCGAGGTGATGAGGCGCAGCTGGTCCACATAGTCCTTGCCAGGAAAGACAGGGTGCTTCACAACTCTCTCACAGAATGCCTCCACACCTTGTGGCCTCCCCTAGCCTATACTACTCACGGAGGTGATGAGGCGCAGCTGGTCCACATAGTCCTTGCCGGGGAACAGCGGGCTCTTCACAATTCTCTTAGAGCACTGTTCTGTTCCTCACCCACAGGGCTTACCGAGGTGATGAGGCGCAGCTGGTCCACATAGTCCTTGCCGGGGAACAGCGGCTCGCGATTCAGCAGCTCCATGAAGATGCACCCCACGGACCACAGGTCGATGGCTGCCGTGTACGCCTGGAGTGGGGGGAGAATGAGAGGGGTTGAAAGAGGTTGAGAGCGGTACTAAGTGATTGCAGTACTGAACATCCGGTTCAGCAGCTCCATGAAGATGCATCCCACTGACCACAGGTCGATGGCTGCTGTGTACGCCTGGAGTGGGGGGAGAATGAGAGGGGTTGAAAGCGGTTGAGAGCGGTACTAAGTGATTGCAGTACTGAACAGCCGGTTCAGCAGCTCCATGAAGATGCACCCCACTGACCACAGGTCGATGGCTGCCGTGTACGCCTGGTGGTGGGGAGGAGAGGAGGAGTTGAATGCGGTTAAGAGCGGTTAAGACATGGTTCAAAGGGGCATCAGCTACCAACAAGCGATTCAGCAGCTCCATGAAGATGCACCCCACGGACCACAGGTCGATGGCTGCAGTGTACGCCTGGTGGGGGGGGGGGGAGGGGGTGCTGAATGCGGTTGAGAACGGTTGTAAGTGGTACCAGTTACCAACAAGCGATTCAGCAGCTCCATGAAGAGGCACCCCACCGACTACAGGTCGATGGCTGCTGTGTACGCCTGTGTTTCCGATGGCTGCTGTGTACGCCTGTATTTCCGATGGCTGCTATGTACGCCTGTATTTCCGATGGCTGCTATGTACGCCGCCTGTATTTCCGATGGCTGCTATGTACGCCTGTATTTCCGATGGCTGCTATGTACGCCTGTATTTCCGATGGCTGCTGTGTACGCCTGTATTTCCGATGGCTGCTGTGTACGCCTGTATTTCCGATGGCTGCTGTGTACGCCTGTATTTCCGATGGCTGCTGTGTACGCCTGTATTTCCGATGGCTGCTGTAAATTCCTGTGCTCTCATAAGATGTTAAAACCGCTATGCTCACTCACCCTGCCAAGGACAATGGCTCAACCAGCCATGCTAAGGTGTTCCTTCCATGCCATGCCTGCTCACCTTGCCGTTGAGAACCAGCTCTGGGCCCACGGTACCATCTGCCATCTGGTTACCACATAGACTTTCATGCACTCACTCATGCACTCACTCATGCACTCACTCACGCACTCACTCATGCACTCACTCACTCACTCACTCACTCATGCACTTCCTCATGCACTCACTCATGCACTCACTCATGAAGTCACTCTCTGCAATTCTCACAGTGCTCAGAAATCCTGCTCAGGTGTTCCAGCCGTGTTCACTAACTCACTCACCTTACAGTGAGTAGCAGCACTGGGGCACGGTACCGTCTGGTCTGGTTACCACTGCCTGCCTACCAGCCTTGCTAAGCCGAACCAACCGTGCTCACTCACTCACCTTGCTGTTGAGCCGCAGCTCTGGGGCATGGTACCATCTGGTTATTGCGTCAAGGGGCAGAGCTCACCCACCCTGCTCACCCACCCTGCTCACCCTGCCAATGTGTTCCTTCCAACCATGCTCACTCACTCACCCTGCTAACGTGTCCCTTCCTGCCATACCCGCTCATCTTGCTGTTCAGCCGCAACTCCGGAGCGCGGTACCATCTGGTTACCACATACTCACAACCCCACTCACAGTGCCCACTCAACTTGCCAATGTGTTCCTGCCATGCTCACTCACTCACCTTGCTGTTGAGCAGTAGCTATGGGGCACGGTACCATCTGGTTACCACATACTCACGGCCCACGAACGGACCCTGCCCACTCATCTTGCCAACGTGTTTCCCCCTTGTTCCCTCACCTTGCTGTTGAGCAGTAGCTCTGGGGCACGGTACCATCTGGATCTGGTTACCACATAATCCGTCATTTAGTCGCTCATGCAGTCACTCTCCTCACACTGCTCACTCACAGTGCTAAGGTGTGTGTGCTCACCTTGCTGTTGAGCAGCAGCTCTGGGGCACGGTACCATCTGGTTACCACATACTCTGTCATGTAGTCACTCTCCTCTGCCGATCTGTGATTAGGGGCGGAAGAGGACAAGGAACGAAATTATATATATATTTTTTTTTTCACGAAAAGAAGGTTGGCTGTGAGACGTCTCAAAACCGACCTTCTTTCAAGAAGAGAACAAGGTCCAATCTTATTTTTCGTTGGAGGCAGCTGGAAGTTGGACAGAGGGATTCAAATTGTGTGATGGTGCAAGCCTACACCCTGCCAATCCCCCCCATCCCTAATCCCAACCCTCTTTAATTCACACCCTCGCCTGGCCAGCCCAAAGCCGCACCGCAGAGCTTAAGAGTCATGTTTTAGAATTCTAAAAAATGGCTCCAACATAGTTGGTGTTGGGCAGCAGGTTGGAGGGCAGCAGCTCGACTCGACTCGACTCGAGTGTGCTTGGGCGAGAGTGAGACCAGTGCCTGTCAGAGACAGTGAAGGACACTCTCTGCCTCACCTGGCGAGGCCCAAGTCGCAGATCTTGAGAGGTCACATCTGGTGTTGGTTAGAAAGAGGGCGCCAAGAAGTGACAACAAACACAGCCCCCATCCCCCACTCAGCCCCCATTTTACCCCCCCTGTCACTCCCTGTCTCACCTGGCGAGCCCAAAGTCACAGATCTTGAGGTCGCAATTGGCGTTGAGCAGCAGGTTGGAGGGCTTGAGGTCGCGGTGAAGCACCTTGGCGCTGTGCACGTACTTGAGACCCCGGAGGAGCTGGTAGAGGAAGTACTGTAGGGGGGAATCGTGGTGGGGATGGGTGGAAATGGGTGGAGATGGGTGGAGATGGATGGAGCAGTAGGGGTAACGGAATCAGGAAGAACTAGGGCTTGAGGTCGCGGTGAAGCACCTTGGCGCTGTGCACAGCAAATACTTGAGGCCCGTCAGCAGTTGGTAGAGGAAGTACTGCAGGGAGTGGTGGAATGGAATGGACATGGGGTAGGTGGGATTGCAAGGTAAGGAGAGCAGGTTGAGGTGACGAGGACTTGAGTTGAGACCTTGCAAGCTACACCAGCTACTACTGTATGGTATTGGACGGAGTAGTTGTACCGTATACACACACGATATAGAGCACTTTACAAGATTCACGCCTCTTTGATTCATACATATGTGTGTACTGTTACATGTACTGCACCGCCTACACTTCCCTACCTCACCTGGCAATGATCTTCAGTCAGTTGCTGGTTGGAGTGAATGATATGATGGATATCTGTGTCAATGAGCCCATACACGTGATTTACACTTCACCATTTACACCTGTTACGTCTCCGCCTCTTGGCCTTCATACCTGGCAGTGATCCTCAGTCAGTTGCTGGTTGGACTGAATGATCTGGTGCAGGTCGTGTCCATGAGCTCATACACGATATAGACATATGTGAACAACACAGTTACAGTGTACACCCAGGGCCAGAGTGTTGTACACAGACCTGGCAGTGATCTTCAGTCAGTTGCTGGTTAGAGCGAATGATCTGGTGCAGATCCGTGTCCATGAGCTCATACACAATGTAGACATCATTAAAGGTGTCGCGCGCTGGAGGAGGGATGATGTCCCTGATAGCCACCACCTGGTGTGGATGCATCGTGCACAAGGGGGGCGATGGGAGGATCGAGGGAGGGAGGGAGGGCGATGGGATGTGAGAGTTGAACGAGCGTTTATGAGCTCATGCACGATGTACACGCCGTTGAATGTGCCACACGCAGGCGGAGGGATGATGTCCCTGATAGCCACCACCTGGTGTGGATGCATCGTGCACAAGGGGGGCGATGGGAGGATGGAGGGAGGGAGGAAGGGCGATGGGATGAGAGAGTTGAACGAGCGTTTATGAGCTCATGCACGATGTACACTCCATTGAATGTGCCACACGCAGGAGGAGGGATGATGATGTCCCTGATGGCCACCACCTGGTGTGTGGATGCATCATGCACAAGGGGGGCGATGGGAGGAGGGAGGGAGGGAGGGAGGGAGGGAGGGAGGGAGGGAGGGAGGGAGGGAGGGAGGGAGGGAGGGAGGGAGCGAGGGAGGGAGCGAGGGGAGTTCAAGAAAGCAGAAAAGGTCATTCTGGTTATCAAAGGCGTTCTGAAACTTCCTTAAAAGAGGGACAGGCAGGAAGGTAGGCAGCCGAGAGAGTGAGTCACGTTCCCATGGTCCACCACACACCACGCCATACGGTGCGTGTCAGTAAGACAGGGACTCACGCTCCACGTGTTAGGCAGGCTCACTCACAGGCTCATGCTTTATGGTCCATGTGGCTTTAGCTCATTCAATTTGACAATCTCACTCATGGGGCGTCAGGCAGAGACTCACGCTATGCTTCACAAAGAGACTCACTCACCACACACCATGCCGTACGGTGCGTGTCAGTAAGACAGGGACTCACGCTCCACGTGTCAGGCAGGCTCACTCACAGGCTCGTGCTTTATGGTCCATGGGGCTTTAGCTCATTCAATTTGACAATCTCACCCATGGGGCGTCCGGCAGAGACTCACGCTATGCTTCACAAAGAGACTCACTCACCACACACCACGCCATACGTGTCAGGCAGGCAGAAAGACTCACTCACGTTCGCGTGGTCCATGTGCCGAAGCACCCTGATCATCTTAGCTCATTCATACACCAAGTCACGTTCTCATGGTCCATTGATACCAGCTCACCTTGATACCCCTCAGCGTTCTCTTGGTGGTGTCAATGCGGTTGTTTGAGGCGTTGGCTATCATCTTGATAGCATGACAGAGAGGCAGAAAGAGACTCACATTCTAGTGGTTCAGATGGGGACCAAGCAGTTGATCATCTTAGCTCATGCATACACCACCTCACATTCTCATGGCCCACGTGTTATTCAGGAAGAGAGACTCACGTTTTTGTGGTCCATGTATCGAAACAGCTTGATCTCCCTCAGCGTTCTCTTGGCGTCGATCCGGTTGTCGAAGGAGTTCACAAGCGGAGACTCATGGTATCATGGTCCAAGTGTCAGGCCTCACGTTCCCCGCGTCAGTGATTCAGGCAGAGAGACTCACGTTCTCGTGGTCCATGTGTCGCAGCAGCTTGATCTCCCTCAGCGTTCTCTTGGCGTCGATCCGGTTGTCAAAGGCATTGGCGATCTTCTTGATCGCCACCTCCTCCTGAGTCTCCGAGTTGATGGCCGAACTGCAAACACACGGGAAGGGTGGCATGGCAAGCAATTGACGGAAAAATATAGGGGGCCCAAAGTAAGGCGCAAAAAAAAACACACACACAAATGGGGCATGAAAAGAGGAGGCTAGGGAGAATAATGAAGCACTGCAAGGAGATGAGAGCCAAGAATAGGAATGGGATGAGGCTGGTGCATGAACGGGGACGAGAACTGGCGGGAGATAAGGAAAGTCGGTCATACATCAGGCAGTACACGAACGTTCAGAACGAACCACTCAACCAATCCCAATCCCAAAAAAAAAAACCTTTGTTTTATTGTTTTTGTGTCATGTCAGAAGGCAAAGAGCACTTACCACACAATTCCGTAGGCTCCACGCCCGATTGGCCGAATAGGCGGCACATACTTTGCAGTAACCTCGAACATATTTCCGTAAATGTTATACTGCGTGTACGCCCCGTCATACGTCGGAACTCCCACAATTTCCGGCTCTAAAGGCTCGCCAGACCCGTCATCGTCGTACCCGTCCTCCCCGGGATCGCCATCCCCGTCACGGAGGTCTTCGCTATACTCTACAGCCCCGCCGTCGTCGTCCCGCTTTCCGTCCATGTGATGGTTATATTCTTCCGTCATCCCCGTTATGTACTGACGTGCGACTGCTATAAGAACGAGAGTTACTTCTGCTGATTAAGAGCTAAGGGTAGGAACTAAGAAAACAGCGATCAGGCAAACGGAAAGCTTTAAACTGATAAGTAACGGCTGGTTCAGAGTTTCGTTTCCTTTAAGATGCCACAAGACGTCTTGTTAATCAGGTACGCACGGTAACACGGTTGGACGGTAGCGCGACACGGTAACTGCGAGAGCTTTAAACTGGAAAGACAGGTGAATGAAAACAGTAGAGACTACGGCTGCAGAATACTGAACCTACGACATTCTGCACTTGATATCGCGCATGCTTGCGACTAAGGGGGGATACAGGAAAGGCGTCACCAGCTGAATTGCATCAATCAGGTCGCGCACTCGCAGAGAACGTCGCACGACACGATCGCACTACTTAGTCGCACGACCTAATCACATGACCCAATCGCACTGTGGAAACTTCAGCCTGGTCGACGGACCAAAATCCCTGATCCAAGCACGGACAAGGAAGCGAGCGAACCAATGGGCTGGGAAATGCAGTCAACGAAATGCGATCAATACCGTTTTAGGAGAAACTAGAGGCGCAGTGCGACTACAGCTGCAGGAGAAACAGACTAAGGGTGTGTATCACGTGTTTGCAAAAATCAGGTCAACCAACAGTCACTTGAATGGTACAGTGCGGTGGCGAACCAGAAAAAGTGGTTAAGGAACTTTCAGATGCGGTTCTTTTACTCCTCGATGCGGCATCTGGGTATTAACCCAACTCGATACAAGGCCTGGTCGCTGAACCGCTCAAGGGGGCGGTGCGTACCAAGGGGATGTCATGTTTGATTAAAATGTCATTACACTGGATGGAATACGACTCGTAAACATTCAAGTACGGTATCATACGTTAACTCTCGGTGCTTTGATCTCCCAACGGTAGGTCATCTGAATGGGTTTGTCGTCAGTCTAGCAACAGCAGCCTGACGGAACAGAACCTGAGGACCCATTTCAACTGTCTGCTTGTCTGACTGGAATCAAACTGATGATGACTGACGCCAGCCGAACCTGGCTCCCTCGAGGTTGTTTGGCTGAAAACCAGGGGAGCTTGGCGCTTCGGTCACTAGATTCACGAACAAGGCAAAAGGTGGTACAGTAACGCGCGGAAAGCAGATTCTTTGGAGTGAGGGCGGGGCGGGAACGAAATAGGGGCGGAGGCGTGCGCTCCGCCACGGAAAGGGGAATGGCTGCGGGCGAAAAGTGGAGCGGGGAAATCTTGACCATAGGGATGAATCTTATTGGCTTGCAGTTATTTATCATTACCACTGGAAAATACATTATACTATATTGATGATAACAAACAGTATCAGGAGTAAAAAATGCCAATATGGTGAAATGCCTCCACTATTCGTCATTAGGTGTGAAACAAGGCACACAATGATAGTAGGCACACATTAAGAGGGGGCTGAAGTAAAGAGTGGGGCTCTACTAGAGCTTGAGGGTGAAGTGGCAGGGGAATTGGGAGGCGAAGGCATGGCCGTCATATGAAATGGGAGTGGAGGAACCAGCATGAGCGATTTGGTGTTTGGCGCCACGTTCACCATGTGCCCCCTCCCTCCCCACATGCCTCTCCGCACATTATTTATCCGTAGCGTACGTGCCTCCTGTTTTTTAGCCAAATGTGAGTTGGAACACGCAAGGAAAGAAAGTGAGAAACACCAAAGAGCACAACAGACTAGGGAAGGACGGCGTAATCAACCAATGAGAACGGATTTTGGCCTTGCCTCCTATTCTGTCACGCAACGTACTGCCTGCTTGTACTTGTTACAAGCAGCCCCAGAATCATGCCTCAGACGTACCTGGCAGAGCGCGCAGCAGGAGCAACAGGCGTGATAGATGCAATCTGTTGCCTCATCGCCCTGCATGGTTGTGTTGGGAAAATTGAGAGCGATACTTTTTGAAAAAAAAAAATCAAACCTGATAGGTGCAATCCGATACTTCATCACCCTGCATGCCCTGCATGGTCAGGTGAATAGAGCCAGAAAGTGAGGGAGAGGGACAGTGAAAGGGAGAGGTCACAGAGGAGGGGGAGGGGATATAGGGTCAAGCATGTTTATGCAGAGATTACAGTGTTTAACCACATGCTCTTTCCATGGTGGAAATAAGAGGACAAGAAGTGTTCATGTTCATGCTCTTTCCATCATGCCACATGATCCTGCATCCTGCTTTTTCCGTGCCTGCACACGAGGTGAGCCTTTTACTGCAGCCAGGATGTGAGATGCAAGCACATCACACCGCGCCTTGCCTGCTCGCCTGCTTGCCTGCTCGCCAGCTTGCCTGCTTGCCATCCCAATGACCTGAATACCAAAGCGTTGGCACGTTCAAGTGCAGATGCGCTAAAACCGACCTGAATACTATGACATGGGTGAGGGGTGACTTTTGAGTCGACTCAAGAGTCACCTCGCTAAAACCGACCTGAATACTATGACATGGGTGAAAGGAAGGGGCACGGAAGGCTATAACTGATGGCGTTGGTGAGAGGAAGGAGGAGGGGAGAAGCAAGGGAGGAGCATGGAAATGGTAGGTTGACCCACGCCCACCCACCTGGATGTTGAAGCGTCGGCGTGTCCGTGTGCGAAAGCGCGCAAAATAAGAGGTTCCAAGGCTGTAGAGGAGGAGTTTGAGTCGACTAAAAAAACTCGACTCACCTGAATGTTGAATCGCCGGCGTGTCTGCGTGCGGAAGCGCGCGGGGTAAGAGGTGCCGAGGCAGTAGAGAAGGATGCCGAGGGAGGAGAAGAAGTCGAGAGTGGAACAGAGGGCTATGAGCTGCGCGCAGGAGCATGCTCCCCAGGTAAGAGCACAGTAGATGAGGGCCTGGGGGACAAGGGGTGCAGGGAGATAAGGGAGAGAAGAGAGGAGGAAAATCCGAGGGATGAGATGAAGATTCTGAAAAGAGCAGAGGGATTTGAGGTGCGTGCATGAGCGTGCTTCCCAGGCGAGAGCACAGTAGAAGTGTTATGAGATGTCTCAAAACACTTCTTCAATCACGTGGCTATTCTTCTGCGCGCATGAGCGTGCTTCCGAGGCGAGAGAGCAGTAGAAGAGGGCCTGGAGGACAAAAACGGCAGGGATTGCGGGGGAAAGAGAGGATGGAAACTTGAGGAGTGGAGCAGAGGGCTGTGAGCTGCGCGCAGGAGCATGCCCCCCAGGCGAGAGCACAGTAGATGAGGGCCTGGAGGAAGAGAGGGAGGTCAGGGAGAAGAGATGAGATGAGAGTAGAGAGCCTGAGGGATGAGATAGAGATTCAAAGAAGAGCAGAGAGTTATGAGCTGCGAGCAGGAGCATGCTCCCCAGGCGAGAGCACAGTAGATGAGGGCCTGGGGGAAGAGCAGAGGGTTATGAGCATGCCCCCCAGGCGAGAGCACAGTAGATGAGGGCCTGGGGGACGAGCAGAGGGTTATGAGCATGCCCCCCAGGCGAGAGCACAGTAGATGAGTCGACTCAAAAGTCAACCTGGGGGATGGGAGAAGCAGAGAGGTCAGGGGGAAGAGGGAAGATTACAAGGGAGCACAATAATAACAACGGCGTTTTAGGAGCATACAGCAGGAAGAAGGAGCTGAAAATAGAGCATGCTCTCGAGGAAAGAGGACAGAAGAGGAGTTTTGAGGCCCCTCAAATATGAAGTATGCTCCCAGGAAAGAGGAGGGAAGATGAGATCATGGCAGGTAGAAGATGCGACTTTTGAGGCGCCTCAAAAGTTGCTCCTCAGGAAAGAGGAGGGAAGATGAGATCATGGCAGGTATGGGAAGCAAAAGTTGCAAACAGGATTCGGCTTTTGAGACGCCTCAAAAGTTGCTCCTCAGGAAAGAGGACAGAAGACGAGATCGTGGCGGGTATGGGAAGCAAGGATAAGGCGGGGGTTGCGAGGGAGTATTGTAAATGTGCTCTTGACCAAGGTGCTCTGGGCAAACTGAGGGGCATCAAAAGACAATTCGGAGCACATGACACATTCTGCTATCTGTGCATGGCTTTTGAGATGCCTCAAAAGGCGCCAGAAGGCGTTTGAATCCACACGACACATCCTGTGCTATCCATGCATTGCGCTCACCTCACCACACCTCTAAGAATGCTTTGCCAAACCTGTAATGGCACTTTTGCATACCTGTAAGAGCTCTTTGGCGTACCTGGGGGGCATTTTTTAGTCGACTCAAAAGTCACCTCACCACACCTCTAAGAATGCTTTGCCAAACCTGTAACGGCGCTTTTGCATACCTGTAAGAGCTCACCTGGGGTACCTGGCGTACCTGGGGGGCACAGCTGCCGAACCCAGCCATGGCCATGTTCTGGCCGAATGTGATGCAGGGACAGCTGTGAGAGAGGTTGGGGTGAGATGGCACGTAAGAGGGAGAGAGAGGGTAGGGAGAGAGAGTGGTATACATGAGCCTTGAGGGCCATCACAGCTGCCGAACCCAGCCATGGCCATGTTCTGGCCGAATGTGATGCATGGACAGCTGTGAGAGAGGGAGGGGTGAGATGGCACGTAAGAGGGAGAGAGAGGGTAGGGAGAGAGAGTGCTATACATGAGCCTTGAGGGACATCACAGCTGCTGAAACCAGCCATGGCCATGTTCTGGCCGAATGTGATGCATGGACAGCTGTGAGGGAGGGAGGGGTGGGATGGCACGGTGGTGGAATGACAGGAAAGAAAATATGGGCGAGAGTGGTGGATAGGGAGAGGCTCTCCAGACAACAACGTGTAGCGAGGTTGTTTTTGAGACGTCTCAAAAACAACCTCGCTACTTCT